CACTTGAGACTAAATATGTCTTACAGAAGTAAAGGGTAGAACATTTTTCTCTATGCTGGAAACTTTAATAGTCTGCTCAGCCATTTCTGTTTTTGTTTGTTGCCCTTATGTAAACATTTCTGAGCGAAGCCAAAATTGCTGTAAGACAGAGCAATGTGACAAACATTCACAAAGACAGGAGTAAACTCGTGTGATAATTTCAGCCTTTGCACGTCTGATCGTTACAAAAAACATGGGTCGCCTTGTTGACGGAAGAGAAATTTCTAAGGTTGTAAATGCTAAGAGACAAGTCAAGCTTAGAGTAAGAAAAACTGTTATTTTTTCATGGTTTTCCTCTGTCTTTTTTCCATATCGTGTCTGTCAGAATCAATAAAAAGAATTTTCTAGTTATTTTGATCCCCTGCTACTAGTCTCACATTTCAGCTGCATGAGAACAGAATTCATTTTAGATTAATTCAATGTAGTTTTAGGAGAACAAAGGAGTTCAAGGCAGTTTCCGTCATATATTTTGAAATTAAGCATCAACGAATAGACAGTTATGGATAATCAAAAAAGAAGAAAAGTGGGTTATAGTCTTGTCAGAATTGCTTTGGCCTAGTTTTCTCCTGAGACTGCATTTTTCTTTTTAGAACACCAAGCAACCAAAAAATCAGACATTATGACCAGATAGCCACTTTGGATTAAATCATTACTCTTAAAAATTAGTCTAGTGAAATATCATTTTTATTACATGAAACAATTTACAGGAGCATTTAGTTTTTCCTCATACAGAGAAAATTTGATAATATCCATTTTTGAAGATATGTAATAATAAGTATTAAGCAGAGAAAACGGTATTGCTTCTGCAGCACACCAATAATCTGCAATATACATTATTAGACTGGAGAACATGAAAGATCCAAGACAGCCTTACAGGGAAGATTTAATTTTCTCTACATAACCTAAACAGCAATACAGACAGAATTAAATGCAGCATCAAGCACAGGAAATTGTTCTTTGCTAAAGGTTTGAAATGGGTTGGATTGAATCTTTAGGCTTTGAGTCAAGTTATATAGTAAAAATAGAATGGGAATAGTTTTATTTCCTTTATGCTCATAAGGAAATTCTTTTTTCATTAAATCTGTTTAATCTGCTTATAATGTAAATTGATGCCAGGTAAACTAAATTAAACCTAACTAAGCGAAATCAAATCGAATTGAAATGAATCAAGTTTAACTGAACTGAAGAAGATAACAAGCGAAGAGTTGAAGCCACTTCCCTTGGCACGATGATGTGACTTGTCATCCAAAACATTTTTATTCCTATTTCATTTGTCATTCTATTTACTGACATGTGAAAGCTTTTTCCAAAGCATCTGATTGGGGAGACAAAATTGATCTGAATGTGTATTACTTCAATTGGCTGATTTAATATTGTTTGCCATATTAAAATTAGAAACTGGGGACATTTTTTATGATTATTAAAAATCTCCAGTTGTGTCTTTCTCGGCAGGCCATGTCATCAATAATTGAAAAAAATACATGTACATACATGTAAAACTGTAGCTGCGATTCTTCATGAAAAAGCCACACTGTTGCTCCCTGCAATGTTTCTCCTCAAGATGCACATGACATTTTCTCCAGACATCATCTAGTAAACAGAGACTATCACAGCAGACATTGTCCTGTGCAAACGCAATATGTGCTCCTGTTTGGGTAACCTTTGCTAAAAACCACAGTGCCCAGCTGTTCGGGAAAATTAGTCAGCCCTTTATAAAAACGAAAGCCTCTATGTGAGACCTGTTTTAAAAGATTTATGTCTTCAGAGGGACGCAGCCTCGCATCAGGCTGAATGACACAGAAAAGGTTGCAGTGGCAGAAATTAATTACAGCAACAACACATGGTTGGTTTTGTTGGTGTTTTCATGGGATTGCTGTGGAAAATGACCATATTGAAACAATTGAAGGCTTGTGGGTTTTTAACAAACAGGCTGTTAAATCTATCCAGTTTTTTAAATCAGGTTTTTGGAGTCAAGTGAAATGGATGCTTCAAGAACCCAGCATGTAAGCTCCAACATTCAGTCTTAACCATCAAGCCTTCAATATTTTTTTAACATTGTATGGCAGTTAAAACCACAAATTTCTGCACCTACATTTTTCTGGTTTGTATTTTATCTCCATTCAAGTCCACAAAAGACCACAGAGTGGCTTGATCAAACTTTGGTGAATTTGAGCAACACCATCAAATATTCAGACTTGAGTGGTATGGCCAACATGACTCTCAGGTTTGCTCCTGCTGGGACACTGTTTAAGTCAATGTTAACTAAGGAAAATGGCATAACGATTGGGCTGGCAGCTCTGTCTTGTTGTCAATTTCGAAATAAAAAATCCCATTTCTGTAAAATTTTCCACATGCTTTTTTTTTTTTTTCATGGTCTGACTTCTGTTGCAGCCGTTTTTTTTAAATAACAATTTTATGGCCTCACTATAAACCAGAGGGACACCTGACCTACAGGATTGAACTCTGGCACTGGTCCTGAAGACTTGCTGAATTACCCACAATCATACACAATCTTAAAAAGAAGAGTGACTGTTTTCACTAAAAAATTGTGAGCCAAATAGGAACAAAACATCAGAAATGTGAAAAGAAACATGATTCAATTCGCTGGGGAATTCTGTCCAAGTGAAAAGCACTTGCCCCCCCCTGTTAAGACATCACAAGTGGTGAGCCAAATGTTAGCTAATGAAACTGCTGCTGTGAAGGATTTGTTCATGCATTAATTTGGTTATAATTAGTAAGCAGCAGGTTGCAGTTCTGCTGTGGAAATCTGCACTTTCTCGTACTTTCTACCTGTGTTTTTCTACCAGTGGAAGGTCACCTAATGTAGAAAATCCCAATTTCCCCTGAATGTCCCTGGAGTCATTAAAGCTTTACCTAATATAATCGCCTGGGCTACTCGCTCTAATTGATGAAAACAAAAAGATCACAATTCTAAGCCCAAGTTTCCGGGTTGACGTCACAGGAGACAAATATTCTTGGAGTGATCTGTTCAGAGACAGTGATTTGAAAATGAGGTGACGTGAATTGACCACGAGCAGTCACTCTCTCATCTGGTGGTGTTTTCTATTTGTGTCAGGCAACATGTGTTTCTCATGATGGGACCTGACACCTCCCCTGGAGGAGCAAGGAGGATGAGGAGCGACAGAGTGAAGCGGCCTCAGGAGAAACATTTTCACACTGACTGCAAATTACGCTCTTATCCACTAAAATGCCTATAGATAATACGTGACTTTTTGAAGATGTCACTTATTCCAAGCGGGGAAAAAAAGCCTTTTATCCCATGACTACATTAACAAAATTGAAATTTCTGATCTTAAATTACTTGTTTTACTTGAGTGCACACAATCTTGCACATCCCTCTAACCTTTACGTGTTTTGAAGTCTGGATCTTACTTTTTCCACCACTGAAACGTCTGGATGAAATACATTTACTGTTAAAGAATAATGGGGAGAGCTATGCCACACTGTTAAATGTGACTTAACAAATATCCTCAGTTTGTGCTTAAGTGGAAAAGCGCCAACTTTTGCTTTTCATCAACAGATGTGAATCCACATCCCTCTGAATAATAAGACTTATTTCGTGACATTACTCAGTAATTGGAGAGAGAGTGAAACAGACAGCAGTCAAACATTCAGGCTGTTTAACATTCTAATGGCTTGTCTGGTGTTGGATTAAGCTCTCTGTATAAAGTGTATCTTGGCGGTGGGCCCCCCTGAAACTAGGTGGCCGTGGCACCCAGTGACAGAGACAGTGACGTATGTGCGTGCAGCAGCAATGAATCACTGCGAGACAATGCACCTCTCTGGGCCTGAGGTGTTAGATGCACATTCAAAGTAGAACAGATCGTTGTAACACAGATTCAATTTGCTACCCATTTTGAACTAATGCACTGTTTATAAAATAAAATAAGTTCTGTTGATAGCTCCAAACGTGTACCTGTTGTACTAGTGGCTGTGGTTTACAGAGTGAGGAAAAGCACACATATTGACCCATAATTGTGACAGTCAGATGAAAAAGTCACAAATCTTGACTCAGCACTCACCTTAAGTTGAGAGAAATGTCATTTCAAAATCCAAAATACTTCTTCAATATTTTCCAGCTAACACATTCAACAAAAAAAAAAAATGCCTGCAGGTGTGGCACCTATAGGCCTATTCTGATAGCATAGAGGTTGATGATCGTGCACGAGCGCGCACGCTCACATATGACTCATCTCATCTTAACTAAAGCATTTTGTCAGAGGCGTCCTTTCACGTTACACCCATGCAAGAACGCGCAGACTCAATCTCAGCTTGGAGAGAGGCACTTATCGTGAGCGTGGCTATATAAGTCCATTCAGCATCTACCCTTTAAGTAACTATATACTTGTTTCTTCAAAGAAGTGAAGGAGGGCGGCATCTCGCCAACTACCTGGGAACCAACACGGCTGTACTGGACTTCCTGTACTGAAGGTACGGAAAGCTTCATTTATCTAACTCAAGACAGGAGTCTGTCTAAATGCCTCCTGCATCATGTTGCTTTCTTCTATCTATTTTTTTTAGAACAAATTTTACTCTAAATTAGTTTTGGTTGATGCAACCCCTCGGAGAAATGCACTCAAAGATCACCAAGTTGATTTATACACTCGGCAACAGCATTCTCTTTTAGGTGCTGTTCTTGTTTTACAGAAACGAATCAAGTATATCGGGGGAGGGCTACAATACTTAAACTTGCATCCGTCCGAGTTTTCCTGGAGCTCAGATATTCCGCATTTAGGTCCAGTCAAAAAAGATCAAGCTTCATAAGAGGTGATAATAAATCAGAAAATTCTAACTACAGTGAACCTACAACAATAGTTGCAGCACATAGTTGCAATGCGCTTTCTTCGTGCGTAAAACCATTTTTACACAGGATCTTTCACACAGCTGCTTTGATAAGAAATGTTTCTTTTTGTTTCTCAGATTCCAGTTGATATCCTGACATGAAGCTCAATTTATTTGGCACCACCGTAATTCTGCTCGTTGCCTTCTTACCGCGCTACGAATGTCGGGCTATTGAGAGCCCTGGCGGTACCTTGCGCGTCCCAGCTCCCCAAACCCAAAACTCCCAACAGCAGCAGTCTGGTCCCATTCTGGAGCGCCTTGGGGAGGAGTATTTCATCCGACTGGGAAACGGGGACTCTAACTCTTTCCCATCTGCGTCCATGTATCCCGGCGGATCCTCTGCCATCTACAACAGAGCGCTCCAACTCCAGCTGACGCGGCGTCTTCTACAGGGGAAAGTTGGAAACATCAGGGCGCTCATCAGCGGCTTTGGCGATCGCGGGGACGACTCGATGGAAAGGGGAAGGAGGTCCGAGGACCCGCCGATATCCCTGGATCTGACCTTCCACCTTCTCCGGGAGATGATGGAGATGTCCAAAGCGGAACAGCTTGCCCAGCAGGCGCAAAATAACAGAAGAATGATGGAGCTCTTTGGAAAATGAAAACCTTTCTCCAGTGCGCCAAATATCTCAGTTCCCTTGTTTCTCGTTTTGCATTTTCGTTTCTCCATTTTTATCATCAGCACAAAATACATGCTCTGTGCAACATCGTGCTGCTTTATCACTCTATTATTTCTAGCTTTAACCTCAAATGATGGAGCATAAACGGGGCTTGACTTAGAAAATGAGCCGATTGTACCTTGCCATTATAATGTTGGTGTATAGTTATGCCGTTCTTCATTTTTGAGATGACACACTTTTGGTTGAGACATGAATTTCATTGAACAAAATTGGCACTTTGCTTTAGCTTCTGAATCACTGTATTTATGATATTCATGTTTGTTAATAAACTTATGTGCAACCAGTCACTTTCCGTTGTGCAACAGAACGTCTTACATCTATATTTTTTAATAAAAAACTAAAAGCAATGCTTACACTTCTCTGTCGACATCCTTACATTAGTTAATATTAATTCAAATGAGAGCAGCTAGTCACTGATCTGATTTAAAAAACATTCTAATGTTTCTTGATATTCATCTTTAAAAATAAACCTGAAAGATATTTTGTAAGAGAGAATATGTTCAGGGTATCTTGCTCACACCAGCACTGACTGATAGACAAAACACGGAAAGAAAATCTACTTTGAATGACCATGGTATTGCTTTGGAAAATAGCTGATCAAAATCCCCCTGCAACATACAAATACAAAAGCTGTGAGAGAACAAACATTCTTTTAGACCACCTGCAGTCAAGCAAGTGGACATTCAGACATCTTCTCTGCTGCAATCTTAATCCTCAAGAGATAGTTCTCATTATACAAGCAAAAAGCAACCGCAGATAGCTCAAAGACGCACCACTGTCGACTAATGAGTGTGAAATACTTGTGTGCCTGTAGTGATCTCTGACCCTCGGTGTCAGAAAAATAGTGAACGAGAGCTGTGGGAGTGAGTCATCCAATTCTGCTTGGCTCATGTGGCAACAAGGTTCCCAGTGCTGCGCTGAGGCCATTTGTAAAGGATCCAACACACTGAGTGATGCTGCACACTGATTAGATGGGAATCGGTGATGGACTTTCTGTGTTGCAGAGTTATAGCAAGGTGAGACCACTAAGACCCACTGCAGTGTCTTGTTTGTACAGTTAGTTGGATGAATGTGCATCATCCTGTAGGAGCGGAATGAGCACACAGTAGACAATTTTCTCGCTGAACCAGCTGAAAGAAAGACCCTAATGTGTCCAGCTGGAATAACTTGATAGAAATAAATGATTGAGAGACGGAAGATATTTACACATGGGAGAATAAAAGGAAGCTCAGAGAGGTGAACCATAAATAATTTATCACGGAACTCTCGATAATAAATGTGCGCAAATATACTTCAAATGGGGTTTAGAAAAGGGACTGAAGAGATATAAAGACCAAATAAAGAATACACCAAGAAGGATGGTAAGAAAGCTGCAGCAGTAAAGTAACCATTTTGAAAAGTTGAATTTTTGTCAATCCATCAAAATGGTGAGAACAGGGTACACAGAATTTCATTGTTTGACTTGCTTTTAATGTCACATAATATATACAGTTTGCCAAAAAAAGGCAGAGCATTCTTTTTCTGTAACTGGTAAATATCGCCGCGTTACACCAGGAATAAAACCCATCTCAGCACAAGTTTGAAAAACACAGCGATAGTTTCTTTAATCTGCTACTGTACTCATAAAACCTTTCAGTCATTAAAAAAATACCAGGACAAGAAGGACAATCTGAGGTCTTTTTCTTATGCTGTCTAATGATGAAGTTTAGGCGGTGCGACTCAAAAGGTAAGTGACATGAAAAATGCATGAGTACATCCTAACTCTGAAAACACCCAAAGGACACCCTGACTCTCTGTCCCTTATTTTGTCCAAAATGAAAATAAGGGATCAAAACATATATATTTAAGCAGATTATAAAAACGAAATGAGAAGTGTCAATATGCAGCGAAGCCCGGTACTGACAGTCTTCTTCTGCTAAAACGGGCTTTGCCTGCGATGCAGATCTAAAATTTTCTCACAGTTCCCCCCATTCTGGGTGAAAAAAAGTATCACAATACTTCTCCTGGCTGTGGTTTAGGTGTTGTCTGGGCTACAGGGCAACAACTAGGTGGAGGCAATGTTCTTGGTTGGGTTGGGGGCGGGGCTTATCTGTTGGGCAGCAGAGGGCGGGGCAGAGGGGGCTGATCCCGCCCCACCTGTTGGCACAGTTTGTGCCCTGTCTCCCTCCTCAGCACTCGGCCCTGTGTCTTCATCCTCTTCATCTTCATCTTCGTCATCTGTAAAAGAAATGAGACGCATTAAACAAAACTTAGAGGGCTGTGAAAAATAAGCTTGAATTGAGCACAGAGGTGCCGTCAGCCTTCTGTGTGCCCCCCCCCCTACCTTGGGCAAAGTTGATGCTGCGCAGGGCCTTTCCCTCTTTATTGAACTGGACAGTGTAATGATCCATATTCTCATAGCCACGCTCAACTTTATCTAAGTGTGCTGTACTGGATGCCTCTTCAATCCTGGGTTAAATATATAATAATAATAATATCATTTCACGGGAGAAATCCAACCTCACTTAGTCATGGCAGCACGTCTTGAATATATTTAGCAATTTGCGATCTTTAGCACGTTCCCACAAATTATTTCAGGATGCCTTAGAACAGGATAGTAATTTGCAACATTTCACTGAATTCTTTTTCACAGATGCCAGAGAGCGGGTGTGAACTGTCTACAGTGGTGTTTTTGCTTTAGACGTAGACGAGCTGCAAATTCATTAAATCATTCACAAGAAGACCCGGTAAAGTCTAAAAGAACTATAAAATAGCACCTAAGAAACACAGATAAATGAAGAGTTGACAGTCTTGAACTGAAGAAGTATTAGACCGAACATAAAAAGTGTATGTTCATAATTGAATGACAAAAACTGTATAAATCCATTAGGTTAGTTTCATTAAAATAATGTGAATAAAAAACTAAAAAACATGTACTCACTTCTTAAGGAGAGGCTTTGTGTTCTGAATGAGACAAGACAAAGACCATTTTCATCAAATGTATGCTAACAACATTCAGCCAATTAACTTGGAGTGTATTTTTGAGCTCCACATTAAAAATTCAGACACCATTTGACATCTACTCTGACCTGAAGGAATACAACCATTTCCGGCTCCTCCATAGTTTGAATCCCCTTCTCTACAATCTTGCAGCTCTCCTCCAGATGGTCTCCGTATTTCCTTGTCAGGCTCCGGATATAGTTCACCTTTTCTTCCTGCTCGGCAGTCACCTTCTGACTCATCTCCCTTTTCTTCTCCTCCAGGATGGAGTACAGCTTGTCAAACTTCTCGCATACCAGAGTCTTTTGTCTCCGACCATTCTCCTATACACGTAGGAATGAGAAAACAGAGGATATTCACACAGAGGAAAGAAGATTACAGAAATCTTCTCTGAAATACAGAAAGGAAACATTTTGATTAATTGGTCATTGGGTTCTCTGTGGTAAATGTGGGGATATAGCACTCCTAGAGTTTAACATGGTTTGGAATATTCAAAATTGAAAGAAAAAAGAGGCGAGTGTGGCTTTTAGTGTAAATTGTGTATAAAAAGCTGTGGTCAGCCTGGGATTCTTCCATCCGGCTCCACCATATGCGCAGGAGGACAACCAAGCCGGTTCTGCAAGCTTGTCTTGAGTGATGCCACTGAGGGGGACACATAGGGAACTGGATCCAGTCCAGCTTCCTCTCTGCTTCGTCCAACTGTGGCACCTGATCCAGCCGAAAGCTGTCCGCTCCGCATACTCCCCCCCCCGACACACACACATAGACTACACCTTCCTGTTTTTATGTCTGTGCTGCTGAGGTTGGGCAATAATCGAGTTTGTGGAAATGACAGGGAAGAAAAGGGAAAAAAGAGGGAACGGCAGAGCGTGACATCCAAGTGTTCAATTTCTTTATCTTCTTCCTTGTTACCATCACAGACTGATACGGATAAAAGCAGTGAGAGTGGCCATAACAAGGACACGCTGCACCAGTTTGTAAGGTGTGCAGGTACATTAGTGCATGCTCAGAGTGAGGCTTGCTGTGTGAGTAAGCAGCCAGGCACTGCAGCAGTTCCACACTGACCTCTATGGCTCGACAGGCTTCCTCTAACTGACTGATGATGCCTTGCATCCTGTCGTTGTTACCAACCATCATGGCAATCCCATCACTGAGCTCCGTCTATAGACAAAGACATAGCATAGTGATCGTCTGACTTATGGCAGGGATTTTCATTACAAGAGGGGCAAAGGTGGTCAAAAGGATGAAACACGCTTGCTTTTTGGAAAACGACCGTAGAAGGGGCACTTTTTTTCCCGCAAGATCTCCGAGGCACCACGATCATGAACTCCATGAGCACTGGAGGCCTCACCTTCTTTGTCTGGTAGATGCTGCTGATGGGCGCCACTTCGCAGTCTTTGTGGGCTCCGAAAACCTTACACATGGAGCATGTTGGCACCCCGTGGGTCACACAGAAAATGTTGATCTTTTCATCCTCGTGAACATCGCACATGGGCGTTTCCTCCTTTCTCTCTGGGGCTGGCTTGCTGCTGTTGGGGCAAAATGAAAACAGTAGTACCTTTCCTCTCTTTTCACCGCATACTGATGTGACACGGGACGTCAATTTGATAATGCCACCGTTATGTTCTCCTTGGCAGTTTATTGATGATCCATCCGTCTTGGCTTGCCGTACACATGCATAGTCAGCATGGAAATCAATACATCAGCATTTTGCAGAGTGGCGTACAGGTGTGGGTCTAGGTCTGTGGGATTTTTTGTCAGTTTATACAACTTACTATATTTAAAGAAAAACTCAAACTAACTATGCCAGATGGATTCATCTAAATTACCCAAGCTGCAATTTATGCTTTACACACCTTTACTTTCTCTATTAAATGCCCCTGAGGACGGCGTTGATGAACACAAACAAAACCACTCAGAGCATATGAATGTATTTGTTGTGTGTGATGCCGATTTGAAGTTATCACAACAATAATTGAATCAGTCTCCATCTCACCTACTAGACTCCTGTTTGAACATATCAATTATATTCTCCACCAGCAGGTTCCTCTGCAGGCCGTAAACACCATGCCTGTCCAGGACAACCTCATGTCTGCAGGACGGGCATCTGAAACGGCCGCCGGATGTCAATGAGCCACTCCTTGTTGGAAGATATGGGTTTGAAGCCTGCAAGCGATAAACAATTCAAAACCTAAATCTAGTGTGATGGTAGGATTGGGCTGCATAGACACAAATTAATGAAAGTGGTTCTCTCCACAGTTATGAAATGTTAATCCAGGGATCCAGATAGTACAATACAAAAATAGGGCTCCATTATAGAAACTATAAATTAGTTTGAAGTTGTTCAAAAGTGTTAAAAAGCAAAGACTAACACTGCTGTTAATCAACAATGTGTGGCAACAACACTTCCTAACGCAGCCTATATCTGTTATGACACATATGTTGATTTGCTGTCAAAAACACTTTAAAGGAGAACACATTTGTAACCAAATGGTGAAAATGTTACTTTAAAATAAACTCAAATGTAGGACAGTTGAAGAAGGAAATTATAAAAGCGCAGTTAACTGGACATGCTGTTTTAGAATATGAGAGTTTCCCGACAATATAAATATTCATTACAGCGGCAATCCATTAAAATGCTTTCCTAGCTTACCTGGAAAACATCATTGGCACATTTTCTGCAGAGGTTGTGCTGGCAGGGTAGGATGACAACAGGCTTTGTAAACATTTCCAGGCATATGGGACAAATGAGCTGCTTCTCCAAATTCTCCATATTAGCTTTTGGCAAAAAAAGTTAAAACTCCCCCAAAAAGCCTAATTAGAAATGACCCCCTTAGCAGAGAGTTTAGTAGAAAGTCGTCTTCTTTAAGTTTAAAATGGTGGGCACAGGGTGTCAGGGTAAGAAGTAGGCCTGCTGCTCTTGTCCCAAAGAGCATGAGGCTCTATCTCACTAGTGTCAGTTCTTTTTTTAGAAACTTCTACTGTCACGTCAAAGGTTGCCATTTTTACCTTGCCCATATTTGAAATAGAGCAGGGCAGTACCGAACAGCTGCCCGCCAGACTCCGTCTGTTCCCCACGGAGAGCGTGACAAAAGAATGCCTGGTTACGGATCTTTTCAGTAATCCGTGTGTGTCTTCCAATAAAACGTGTCAACGCTGCTTAGTTTTCGGTGTCAAAAGGATTGCACCTGTTGGCAATATTTCGTAATACTAAGTCAACAGATAAACATAAACATATCCTTATGTAGAATTGGACCATGTTTATCGAACCCCTTAATAGTAGGTTTTTAGGGTTAATGTGACTTTCCTCATGACCTTTGGCAAAGCTAACTAGCACGATTTGCGAAAAGCCACTGGATGGATGATGACCATGCTAAAAATAAAGGTTTGTAACAACAGAAACATCTTTAAGAATGTCTTCAAATCTCCTGCTAGCTATGGTTACTGTAGAACTACATGTGTATCGTAGTGCAGCTTTCTTTTTTCGTTAAAGCGTTTAAAATAATGACGGCTAGCCCTCAGAAAGTTTGAGCATTGCTAACAGTTTTTGTCTTACATTCCTAATGTTGATATACGTAAAATCTGATTTAATCAACAATTAAAACTCCCCCTGTACATCATCCAAAAGCTCCATGTTGTCCCACAATCAATGAAAATGCACTTTATTGTTATTACCATTGTGAAGAAACGGAAACAAACATTCCTAATAATTTGGGGTCATGTGATCTTAAAGCCAAAGCAACTATTTTCACAATATAATTGTTATTAATTATACATATTAAGAGCCCCACTTATTATTACACTCTCTATTGTTATCAGTATTATGAGAACAAAAAACAAATAAGAACGAGTTGTCATTGGGGACATAAAATCCAAATGTTCGAATGTAGTTCGTCAAAACACTTAGGATCTGTTAAAACCGCTTGTCTCCCCCTTGCGGATATCCTCCCTTCGATAGCTCAGTTGGTAGAGCGGAGGACTGTAGTGGAAACATGGGCATCCTTAGGTCGCTGGTTCGAATCCGGCTCGAAGGAGAGATGTTTTTTATTTATTTATTTCGATTGAAGTTTAACATAATAAAATTACATATAAGAAAATAGGTTCCCGTTAAATTGCTATTTTCTAAGTTAATTATTTGAAACTTGTGTATAATTTTCCATAATATCTACAACTCTATAATCCATATTCTTTGCATGCCATTTTCCTTCAGTGTCTGACTCTTTTAGATTTAGAATAATATTGCAATCTTTCAAAAATACATTCATTAGAATCATACAGATTTTTCCCAACAAGGCTATAAAATTAAACAAGCAAGGTGTATGGGTCGTATGCAACGACTTTGGTAATTTTTTTTAACCATTTTGCATACCATATATATCGTTTTCATCAGACTCATACAATATGACATCTGCATCTTGTTCGTCTGTTCCCTTTATAATGCTGCATGAAAATGCATGCAGTGCTTTTCACGCAGACACATCAGAGTCAGTGAGTCATGTTTAAGCATTTCAGACAGATGTTGCACAAAATAATGAATGTCTCTATCCCCCCATCTCCAAATTTTGCCTCTTTGTTTACAGTAGGGCACAGCTGTGAGCAAACGCCACATTAATGGCTTAAAGGTGAGGAAAACGAAAATCTTTGTATTTGCCCCTGAAACGAAAGCTGTTGCCTCCTGCGAGTTTTAAATCTATGGACATGCAAAGGAGCACACTCATTCATTTTTGTCATTAAGTATAGGCTTGTGTGTTTCACCAAATCCTGTCCTCTGTTTAAGTGCTTTTCCTGTGATGCACTATAAAGTTTTTTTTTATGTATGTGTTATTTTATGGAGCTTTGGGAACGCTACTTTATTCAGTTTTAATCATTAATTTTCAAAAAGGCTGAACTAGTATGATTACATATTCATTAACAAGCGAGGACTGCTCCCCATTTAGGTGGCACCTAAAAGTGAATTCAAATGAGATCAATTAGGGAGATGTTCTGGGTTTTCTTTTTGTGACTGAAATTAATTCATACTTTCAAAGCCATTACCGTTTGACTCATAATATTGCAGCGCCTGCTGGCAAAAATCCAATAAAGATTGACAAATTAGGAGGGATATGGAGATTTCTTGGAGATGAAAGGCCAGCACGAATGCCACCCAGCTCTGCTTTGAAGGTTAAAGTAGCCTGTTTAAGGAACTCGATGCGGAGCTCTTTGCCCAGTGGAGGTACCCGGTGCTTTGGGTATGTAAGGTAAAAAGGGCCTGCAGGCCCTTCCAAAATACACAAGAGATTCACTCAAATGTAATCACACGCAAAGAAGTCTACAAGATCAAAGTATACATGGGACCAGAAACAAGGCAGAGCAAAGGGTGCCATCTGTTCTCTTGTATGAATATTTCAGTTAGGTGGAAGTCAGACGGCGAGCACTCACTGCCTGTGATTCAAAAAGTCTTTGTAAGCAAATCTAAAAAATTGTATCTCTCTTACTCCATGCATACCCTGAATTGACCCTCAAGAGTGGAAAGGGTTATCTGAAAACAGAAGCTTTAAGAAACCATGCTTCTTACAGTCGATATCTAAATAAATCTTGTAAAAGTTTTCACATCTCTCTGTCTTGCTGTGTGCAGTGCACACTGATAATTTATGCGGACACTCCAAATCAGTATCATCATGCATGTGAAGAAGGACCCCTGAATTACACACTTGCCATTTATGGATCTAGATTTAGCGACTTGTGAGACTGCAGCAGCCTTTTTCAGAGATTGAGCTGAGCAAATGACAAGAAACTGAGAATAAATTAAAAAACATCTGTGACAAAAGAGCTGCTCGTCCTCACCTCGAGCACAGAAAAAAAATAATGATGATTGTACTAAGTCAACTCCAAAGTAATGGACAGTCTGTGAGATCTGAACTGGACTCTTTGTTCTGAAACTGACAGAGAGGACACGAAGAAACTACACTTGTCAGGGATGAAAATGAACAGTACTAATAGATAGATTTGTACATATATATATATACTGTATATATGTGTGTGTGTGTTTGTCTATGTCATCCCCATGTGTACAAACATTAATGAGGGTGTACTTAAAACAGACCATGCTGAACAAATCAGATAAATAATTTAGAATTGTATACCTTCTCCTTCGATATGACATCCTAAGGAGAGCGTATACAATGAAATATGTCCATGAGCATTAATAATCCCTGCCTAAAGATATATTTCTTTGTGTTTCAAAAAATCTTGTGTTCTTGCATTGATGTAAGGAAAATTTGACAGGGACCTGGATACTGTTGAGGTCATTATTGAACAGCATGTTTTCAACTTTTCTTTTCATTTTCATCTTCAAACTCTCCACTCTGCCGACCAAGACTGCTCAACTTTTTGGAACATCATCAGCCACAGTCTAATTAGACATCAGCCTTGCAATCCTGTTATCTGTATGGATAATAAAAGAGGGATCTATCTCGCTGTTTCTGAGAAAAGATGTACGGGGGAATATACATCTTGATTTGTTCAATGAATAAAACATGAGTCCTCATTCTTGGTAAATAGTTAAGACAATTTCTCACACATATTCACTTGATTGTTAGACAGACGTGTGCTGTCTGATTTCCTTGTGGAAATTTATGTAACTTTGTTTCAGAATGACGTGAGAAAGACGTCAGTCTAACAGCAGATTGTGGTTATGGTAAGATGGGATGCACTCAGCATTCAAAAGCATGTTGCTGCTTTACTTAAAGCTCATGCTCTCTAAACCCCAAAGAGTGCGTTACTATATAACATAGTGAAGGGAAGCAGGGTGGTTTTAGCATCTGGTAGCTGGGTGTTCTGATATATGAGCTGTCTGCATTAATTGGTTAAGCCTGAGAGTATAGTAAACATGTCAAATTCTTTGATATCCTTCTCCCTGTTTTGGCTATTTGAACTTGTCTTTATTACATGGTTGCAGAAGCAGCTTAATCACTGAAATGTTCTTTTCTTGGCCACAGCCTTTATGACCTTCAGTAAGTCGAGTTGTTTCTTCATGCAGGCGCAGAGTGGACAAACAATTTTTTTCTATGCCTCATTTTGGTTCTTGGATACACAGAAAATAAGCTGCAGCTACTAAAAAGACCACCAGCTACATTCCCTGTTACTTTTTACAGTAAGACTCACCTCCCTCAAAATGATTCTAGGTCCATCCATCCATCCATCCATCCATTCTCCTCCGCTTATCCGGGGTCGGGTCGCGGGGGCAGCAGTCGGAGCAGGGAAACCCAGACTTCCCTCTCCCCGGCCACTTCAGCCAGCTCCTCCGGGGGGGTCCCGAGGCGTTCCCAGGCCAGCCGGGACACATAGTCCCTCCAGCGGGTCCTGGGTCTTCCTCTGGGCCTTCTCCCGGTGGGACGAGCCCGGAACACCTCCCCAGGGAGGCGACCAGGAGGCATCCTGATCAGATGCCCGAGCCACCTCAATTGGCTCCTCTCCACGTGGAGGAGCAGCGGCTCTACTCTGAGCCCCTCCCGGATGGCCGAGCTTCTCACCCTATCTCTAAGGGAGAGCCCAGCCACCCTGCGGAGGAAACTCATTTCGGCCGCTTGTATCCGCGATCTCGTTCTTTCGGTCACTACCCAAAGCTCGTGACCATAGACGAGGGTGGGAACGTAGATCGACCGATAAATTGAGAGCTTCGCCTTTAGGCTCAGCTCTCTCTTCATCACGACAGACTGGTACAGCGCCCGCATTACTGCAGACGCCGCACCGATCCGCCTATCGATCTCACGCTCCCTACCCCCATTCGCAAACAAGACCCCGAGATACTTGAACTCCTCCACTTGGGGAAGGACGTCCGCTCCGACCCGGAGAAGGCACTCTACCCTTTTCCGGTGAGAGACCATGGTCTCGGACTTGGAGGCACTGATCCTCATCCCAGCCGCTTCGCACTCGGCTGCGAACCGCTCCAGCGAGAGCTGTAGGTCCCGACTTGATGGAGCCAACAGGACCACATCATCTGCAAAAAGCAGAGATGCGATCCTAAGGCCACCAAGACTGACACCCTCAACACCTCGGCTGCGCCTAGAAATCCTGTCCATAAAAGTTATGAACAGGACCGGAGACATAGGGCAACCTTGGCGGAGTCCAACTCCCACTGGAAACGAGTCCGACTTACTACCGGCAATGCGAACCAAACTCTGACTCCGGTCGTACAGGGACCGAACAGCCCGTAACAAAGGGCCAGGTACCCCATACTCCCGGAGCACCCCCCACAGGATACCCCGAGGGACACGGTCGAACGCCTTCTCCAAGTCCACAAAACACATGTGGACTGGTTGAGCGAACTCCCATGCACCCTCTAGGACCCCGCTGAGGGTATAGAGCTGGTCCAGCGTTCCACGGCCAGGACGAAAACCACCCTGCTCCTCCTCGATCCGAGGCTCGACTATCCGACGGACCCTCCTCTCCAGAACCGCTGAATAGACCTTCCCAGGGAGGCTTAAGAGTGTGATCCCCCTATAGTTGGAACACACCCTTCGGTCCCCCTTTTTAAATAGGGGGACCACCACCCCAGTCTGCCAATCCAGCGGGACTGCCCCTGATGTCCACGCGATGTTGCAGAGTCTCGTTAGCCAACGCAGCCCCACAACATCCAAAGCCTTTAGGAACTCCGGCCGAATCTCATCCACCCCCGGGGCCCTGCCACCGCGGAGCTTTTTGACTACCTCGGTGACTTCAGCCCCGGAGATTAGAGATTCCAGCTCCGAATCCCCAGGCTCTGCCCCTCCAACGGAGGACGCGCCAGTGGGATTGAGGAGGTCCTCGAAGTACTCCGCCCACCGACCCACAACGTCACGTGTTGAGGTCAACAGCACACCATCCCCACTGTAAACAGTGTTGGTGGGGCACTGCTTCCCCCCCCTGAGACGCCGGATGGTGGACCAGAATCGCCTCGAGGCCGTACGGAAGTCTTTTTCCATGGCCTCCCCAAACTCCTCCCACGCCCGGGTTTTTGCCTCGGCGACCACCCGAGCCGCACGTCGCTTGGACTGCCGGTACCCATCGGCTGCCTCCGGAGTCCCACAGGCCAAAAAGGCCCGATAGGACTCCTTCTTCAGCCTGACGGCATCCCTCACCGCCGGTGTCCACCAGCGGGTTCGAGGGTTGCCGCCGTTGATTCTAGGTGTGGATTAATTAGGTTATGTGAAATTAGTAAGCACTGTCATGACAAAAAGTTGGATGCATTCATATTTTATAACAAAGTGAATGAACTATCTCACCAAAGACACCTTTACAGTCCTTGTGCCAAGATAATTTATTAGGGTGTTTTTCTTTAATTAAAGAACACTACTAAGTGGATGACAGGAAAAAACTGACCAGATTAAAACGAGGCAATTACAGAACAGTTGTGTCAGTTTACGGTCAGCTTCAGTACCACCATATTCTTTTTTTATTTATCAAAGAACACCACTTTGTGCAGTTTTTATATCAACTAGATTCAGCAAAGCCACATTACATGCAAAGCTTAGCTGCCTTCAACATAGATAAAGGGTGCTATCTAGTGGCAAAGTGAGGGGAAGCTGTGTCAAGCATGTATGTTGACATCACTGCAGTCGTCACCTTGACAGCAACTGCGTAGTTTGGCTGCTGCATTTAGATTTTTATGATTCATAAACCGTACTCTGATTAAAGTGTGTACAGTGTGAATGGAAACAAGAGATGAGGCACCTCTGCAACATAAAAAATTCAATGAAACATTCACACTATAGTGATCTTTAAAAGTGAGTCATTAATAATGCTCCTACACATTGTTTTAAACAAATGATGTAGCATGTAGCCTAAGATACGTTATTCTTTTTGTGTTGTTCCACAGAAAATGGTTGCATGACATTTCAGTTTTAGTTGAAGTGTGTTTTTTTTCTAGAATATATGCTTGCTGTTGCAGTTTTATTCTTTTTTTTTTCCCAGTAATACTATATGTAATTTCAGCATTTGAGCACAATCACGGTCTGCTCAAACCCCACCATTATAAAGAGTATTTGAAACATAATTGTGACTGGCTGCACAGCTTCACACTGTAAGGGCTCTATTTCACCACAAGATGTCTCTACATGCAAAGAGCATTTTTTTGGTACTTTTAATGATATCTCTATTACTGTGATACAGATAATGCTTTAAAAAAATCTAATAAAATGCTACTGTATTACAAATGTGAAGGCTTTGCAGTTATGTCACTTACATCACAAACATCTGAATGAATGGACTCTGTCGTCTTACTAATGTTTCATGCAGTTAAAATATGTATCATATTGATGTAAAACTACTGCATGGCTAATGAGGTAAAAGATTATGTTTCCCTTTGTGCACAGAGAGTTTTGAGAGGAGAAGTTTAATCAATTAAGGCCCTTTGCATTCCCTCTCCAGTGAGTTTCCAGTTATACAGCAAAGCCTTGGGGAGCAGGGCATAAGAGGGTCTCACAAGCACATACTGCACCTGTGAGCCTCAGGGGAATTAGCACGTATCTCACTTGTCTTCCTAAATTACAAGAGTACTTACACACACCTGCTTTGGAAGGTGTGTCTCAATACATAGCGAAGTGTGACTTATGTGTGTTGTATGTGGCCTAAATCAAAAGTAAAACTTGGGGAAGACATGATTCAATGGAAATAAATGTTTGTAAGATATACTTATGCATGTTCGGGTGTGTGCACAAACGTCAGTCGCCTCTGACAAAATCATAAACCAGATCAAGAAGTTGTCAGGCAGCAACAGGTTAGTTAACTGCATGTAAAAACCCATCTCTGCAATGTTTGCTTCATATGCCTGAAAGAACAGAGATATTCTAGTGTTCGTCAGTCACACTGAGATTTGAATGATATTCCAAAAGATATTTAATTTTTCTCTGTGTACAGTGATCTATCAGCATTGCAGATTTTCAGAACAATTTTTTCCTTTAACTTTATTCCATTACCTATTATTTAAAAAATACAGTCTGTAATTTGAAAAGACTTGATTTACCATAGTATGGAAAAGTCAGGAAAATGATACATGGACATTATGCTGACCCTCTTTTCCCTCTGAGTGAATCCTCTGAATTTTTTTTAGAAATTCTTGGTATAAAAAGATATTCACTACTGTGGCAAGCATCTTAGATACAGAGCTAGTTTCTGTGAGGCCTATCAGGTTATGCAGTTTATTGGTCTAAATACTGCATTTGCTTTCGATGTGAATGTATATTAATGTAACAGTGGATATTGGCTTGTCACTAAGATGCTATAGCTATATCAGAGGTCTTTGTGTGCTGGTTTAGTTGGCTGAAAAAGATGCAGCGCATGGTGCATGATGGTGAGGAAATGGTGTGAAAGGAATTAGCCTTGTCCTGGCATTGGGTCTGTCTGTTGCCATGGTACACTCATTGTCCGCAAGCACATGGGCATGGCAAGAGAAACCTCCACTGCAGCACTGGTGGCACTCATTTTGAGTATCTTATTACATGCAATAATCTATCGAATCCAAAAAGTGGATGTATGGCTTAAGAAAATGAGTAAAACTGAGTCATTTCGATGTGAATGTTTTGAGTCAGCACAGGCAGGCAGATGGAGTGAACTGCCTCAGCTTAATAAACCTGCAACGTGTTGTAGTGCTTCATTTTCAATCTTTCAAACTCCCCTTAACTCTCAGCTCCCAAGTAGTGTAAGTCATGGGAGGAAGGTAATCACAGACAATGATGTGGACCGCTACAGGGCAAGCCCCGTTGTGGTGGAATACCCTTGAGAAAGTCCACGCCGTCTGCAAACGACTGCTCATATGGGTCCAGGGGATCGCCCTGGCTCCACAGCCAATCAAATAATTCATATCATACCAGAATAACGCTTCGTCCAATCAACAAAGAGCATACAACAGCTGCCTCCACATCATTGGCTGATTGGAGACAAGGCGTCCTTTTTTATGTTTTTCTTTTTTTCCAAATCGCTCCAACAGCACCATCTCTGGCAGGTGGTGTGCGCCTTAAATCATACATTTGGCTAACGTTTAGGGCAATAGTCAGGTAGTCGTAGGGAATGAGCAGACTTTAGGTTGTTTATTTTTGTTTTTTGGGGCTCATTGCTTTGTTTTTGCGTGCCATTGCGTGTCCCGTAGAGCCGCCGGAGTGGCGGTGAATGAGCTGAACGTCGGGGTTCCCCTCTCTGAGCCAGACACCGTGTTTTACGACCAGCGGTGAATTAGACAACTGCTCCTTCACGATGCAGCTTCAGAATGAAAACGGAAAAGCCTTACATGTTGACTGTATTTCGCCACCGCTCGAAGCCTGAATGAGAGCGAAAGCTCCCGGCAGCCACCGTCGGAGTCCCACATCCCGGAGCTGCTCCGCTTCGGCCGCCGGGGTAGCAGACTAAATGATATGTTGATGACATTTTTTGGAAGCGGTCGTGCCTTTTGTTTTCTCACCGGGGTATTTGATATGCGGATCCGCGAACGCCACGAAACCCGAATGAGCGGACGTTTTTTCTCCTTTGAAAATGAGGAAGCGATTTCATGAAGACCCAGAAAATGGCAAGAAGGTCTCGTCGTCCGTGGGCCCGGATTTGAGCAGAATGAGAAGGAAAGGGGCCAGTGCTACAGCGGCATGATATCTTTTTTTTTATGACTATTATTTTTTACAGTATGTCACCAAAGGAGGTAAAACGGTGGAGGTAGATGAGACGCAGCATCGATGAAGGCTATCTGGACAAGTTTTGAGTCGTTCCCAACGAACACAAATACTTTGCAGCTTCGTGTCAGACCTCTTTCTCTACACTGAAAGAGATTCTCGTATTTTGGGAGATTTTTCTAATTCACCCGTCATCTATTTTTCTGCGTTGCATCTTTATCTTAGTTTTTTTTCCTCTTCCTTCTTCTTCTTCTTCTTCTTTTTTTATATATTTTTGATCCGGATCCTGCTCTGACTACTCAATGGAAGTATGTTATCAGTTGCCGGTTTTGCCTCTGGACAGGCCGGTTCCCAAGCATGTCCTCAGCCGGAGGGGAGCCATTAGTTTCAGCTCCAGCTCGTCACTCTTCGGGGCTCCTGATCCAAGACAGCTGTCTCAGGTAAAGACGTTTCACACGATTAAAAACCTCTCTCAATTCACTTTTGGTAGCTGCTTCGCTCAGGCTTTAAAAAACAACAACAAACAAAACTGGGGTCTTATCACACTGGTCTTAAAATCGAGCAGACATTCAACAGACAACATGAATAGTCCACAGGAATCTCGCAGGTGGTTGTTGGATGTTCAGGCCCTATCACACACAGTGGGTTGAGATACTCAACATATTCTTATCTCTCTGACCCCAAACAGATGCAGGGAGCCATCACCCATGGTTGTGTTTGTGTGTGTTGCCCACAGATAAAGAGGCTGGGAGCTCCCACTTTGGCCTCCGCTAACATGGTGTTTTAGCTGCGCGCACACACCTGGGATTAGTCAGGAGAAACTTGCTACGCTGCTATTTATGTTAACTTCCCCTGACACATTGACAGAACACAAATCATTGAGTCATACTTGAACTTCCTGTACTCTCTTGAAAATATCCCCATGCTGACATGCCTCTATTATGTGTCCAGCTCTGTGGTGAAAGATAAAATGTGGGCAGCAACAATGCGCTTCATCTTAGCAGGTCACATTTCTAACAGGCTTTCTTGGACAAAGAAGACCTCGAATGGATGCGTGGTGCGTTTCCAAAGTGTTAGCGCAGCCTGGCTCGCCTTTGAGCACTTGCGTCTCCTTTTGCATTCTTGCACACCAGCGTTCGCGGACACAAGCAGCCGAAGCTCGTCCTCATGCCTTCTGGCCACTTCCCCCTAGTTGTTGATGAACAGAAACTCCGTGAGTGTTGTGAGGCACATTTCAGTAAGTGACCGTCATTGTGCGTGTCCCCTTCAGTCCATTAGTGTTTTGTGAGCGTCCCTGCTCCACATAACTATCCATGTGTGTCTGCTTTGAACCTATTACCCATCCTCACAGGCAGGCCCCACAAAAACCAATGCAGGGTCCTTGCATTCAAAGGCTCATCCCCGCCGGCCTTTTGTTGGACCCGTTTGATGGCATCTTTTAAACCGATTCCGTGAAACGTCGTCTAAGTCGGCTGGACCACACTTTTCAGACTGTTCGACCAACATTTTTCCTTTTCATTTTTTTTAAATACTTGCAAGACCTCTGATAAGACTTATAACTGTCTGTCTCATAAAGGAAGACTTTAAAGTGTCGTTTCTCCACTGTGCTCTTTGGAAAGGGCTTGGAGCCAAGGAGGAGTTCCCTGGAAAGGTCTCCAAACCATTAGAGCTTGATTTCTGAGCCCCTCGTCTACCTTGGATATATACAAGGATAAAGCTGTTTTGTGTGGTTTGAGTTCACTAATCAATCTCCAAAGCGGATCTTTGTCCCTTTTCAACTGGCCAGTGTGAGGTGATCTCTTTTGTCCTGTTATTGTGCACCTTTTTTGTTTTTTTCTAATGTGGAACAGGTTTGTTTGCAATGAACAGTGTAGTGTTAAGCAAATTTCCAGGGAAACGATAGTCAGATGGCTTTGTGGAGACTTTTGGAAGCGTGCAATGCTTTGTGCGCAGCGTAAGAACTAAACCGAAACAGGTCGGTACCATAAAGACCCCCTGACGTCAGCATTTGCCTCATTTCTTTGCGCACACTGGCTGAACTGGGTGAAGGGGGCTGGCACGCATACAGCGGTGTCACTCAGCCTTTGTCGCAGAGCAATTACACTTCTACAAATATTGTGTTTCGGGCCTTATTTATGACCATAAGGATGCATTTGTCCTTGGTGGCTGCTGCGCTTTTGTGTGTGGTTCCACAGGCCTGCTGTTTGTGGAAGCAGAGCCGGGCTACCGCTGCAGAAAGAGGCAGTTAGGCATGTGCCTGGGCTCTGTGGGCAGTGGTTTGGCTCGTTTCCAGACTCACAGATGGCCGGAGTCTCAGTCTCTTTTCTTTCTCCGGCTATCTTGTTCCGCTCACTCACAAGCTCCCTGTCTCTTTCTCCTTCTCCTCGGCCCCCCCTTCCCTTCCCTTGCAGATGAAGACATTTCCTCTCGTAAACAGAGTATGAAAGAGTAGGGCTGGAGACACGACTTGAGTCTCAGAAGAATATGCCACTCTGTGGTTGTGGAATGCTTATGATTGGGTGTAAATATGCTGCCGAAGAGGCGTTAAAGTCGTCATCAAATGAATGGACTTGTTTATCCACTACCGTGGCTTTTTTTTTGTTTTTAGAATGCTTGTTTGACTCTGAGTGAGACAGAGGGTGAGATAGATTTTCGCGTTAATGCAGCGAGGGGCTGTTTGTTCCTCTTGAAAAAGTGAAGGGTAAACACTGGAATGAGACAGATTAGATTGGTGCAAATTGAAAGGACCTGGAGCAGCAGAGACGGAGCAGGGCAGAATAAAGTCATGTGCTTCTCATTTGGGCTGTAAAGCGCGCATGAATTAGTGCAGCGCTGGTTTTAGGGGTGATGCACAGCTCTCTGTGCCGTGCGCGCCCCAGTGAAACCAAAATCACGTGATTGTGTTCTGGAAGTTTACAGCTTTTCGAAAAACAAACAAACAAACGGTATTGATGAGCCCTGTGCGTTCATGTGGGCTCTGGTGATGAAAGGAGTCGGACTGGAATGGCCAATCTCCAGCCAGATCAGCCTATTACGCAGCTGGCGGACACACAGTCTGACGCATAGTAGCCACTGATCTCAGATTGACTCCTTCAAATTTGAGATGTTTGGGCAGACGGTGATAAGCCTTTGCATGGGGGTGGGAGGTGGGAGGGCTTGTTCCAGCCACACCGTGGATGCGTCTTTGCTCGGACTGATAAGGGAGTACAGTACAGGGCCTTTTGCTGTGGGAGTTACTTTGTTGATTTAAACTGCCATCAGATTGACGTTGTTTCCGGATGTGGTAAGAATGCTTAAGGAGCCGCTCAGACTCTGAGCTGGGTGTTTCACAACCTTTACCGAAAACTTTAACCCCCGCCGTGCCGACAAGTTTGCGTTTCTAGGCTGGAATCGGCATTGGTGCTATCTTTCCGAGGAAATCTTCAGTAAGCGCAGCAAATAAAATGCATCCCGAGTGCCGATTCGCACGCGCCCCCATGTTTGTCAGCGCGTGTGGATTTCTCTGACGGGGGCCCCTCTTATCACATGACCGTGATGTTTTTGTGCCGTTGAGGGAAATCAGCCATGAGAATGTAGTCCCACACATCTCCTCACTTTTTCAGACTGGCCTTAAACCGATGTGTGTGAACCATATTTAGTGTAAAGGCATGAACCCTGGCGGGAACAGGGGGCAGATTTAGCAGCGTGGCTGGACTCAAATCCCTCCGGATCACACTGCTTGGTGACCTGGCTTTTGTTTGGCCTCCTCAGAACTTTCTGAGGAGGGGTTGGGCATTGAGCTGGTCTTGAGAAGCAATTAGAGCCTGGGGATGATGTTGGAAATGAATGAAATTCCTGCACAGGGCAGGCAGTCTTTGGGATTACGCAGCACCTACCTCCTCGTAACCCTCATTGTAAAAGCGCACGCACGCAGGTTTTTTTTTATTTTTTAAACACCCAATAAACAAAGGCTTGAATCATTTTATGACACTTTCTTTGTTAGTAAAAAACAAACAAAAGAAAAACACATGCAGCAGATGCAGCGCTGCTCGACATGCTGCTGTTGTTCAGCCACTAATTTCATTGTTTAATTTGCTCGCTGAGGCATCGTGCCCCCCCGCCCCCCTCCCCCCAGGCCTCTCCTTCTCCAGCAGCATCCACTGCAACTGGAGTGTGTTACAGTGGACGGCTCGCCCATAAAACACTCCTCCAGCAGGTAGGCTCTATTGAGGGCTTTTGTGTATGCAGCGACCGGGGCACAAACACACAGAGGCTCTGGCTCCCTGCAAAGCGGCCTGTGTTTATGGCCTCACACTCAGTTACTGGAATGTGATGTCCCACACAGCAGAACGCCGCGAGAGCTCATAACTCAGAAGGAAGCTTTCACTTTATGAAAATGCACTGAGTCCCGCTGCTTTTATCTGAGGAATTTACATGCGTGTGAGTGTGTGTGTGCGCGTGTGTGTTTTTTGTTCGGTGGCTTTATTTGGTTTCTGATAAGTCAGTTTTATAGGAATGGTGTTGGACATCATTTCCTTAAACCAGATAATGTGATGAGTTCAAGAGGCCCGTACTCGGCTAAATCCAAACTTCAAGATGGTAAAACGCATTAAAGGAATGTTTTTACATCCATGTTTGACTCAAGGAAGTGTAAAAATGTGGCACTGTGTGCTCCACTGTTTAAAAAGTATTCAAATAGCTTATGCCTGCTATGCGGGGGGGGGGGGGTACATTCAGTATCACAATCTAACTAGATTCAAAGTAAATTCAATCCATATTTGTGGACGTTTTGTGATATTGTTAGTATCTATTGAACTATTGGAGACAGAAGGCAGCACACACTGAAGCCTACAGGCTGCGCGCTTTGCTGGCTGCTTCGACTTCAGGTCCTGACCTCAGAAACCTGAGTGCTGTGACCTCAGGCGCTGAGACTGAGTGGAGATAAGAAGCAGGGCCATATGTAAACGAGCTCACATGGAATGGCAGGGAGCACAATGAGCAGACTGTTGTTCTCGCAGCCAACTCCAAACAAACCAGAATTTACTGTGAATTCCGTCCGCCGAACGAAGCCCCAGTGTCCACATCCAGAAAAGTGTCCGCAAATGCACGATTAATAAAGCCAGTAAAAGAAAAAAGGGAGATATTTCAGCTGTCACAGCTCTGAGAACATAAATCCAGAATGACTTAAAAAGGAAAATGTTGGGAAGTGTCCCTTATCTATGAGCTCAGCCAGTCGACAACATCACTGCTAATAAAAAAATCGGTCTCAGATGTGTGGGCTGAAGCCCGTCTCTTTTAGTTTGTGGCTTCAAAACTAACAAGATGGTGGTCGTACGTAATGCCACATAGAAAGGCAAGTGGATGTCACAGGGGGCATCATGTTTTTTGTGTGGTAAGAGGAGTATGCAGTCGGCTTTGTGAGGTGCACAGCTGGGCCTTCCAGCAGTTACAGTTTTACTTAGTTTAGTTTACTTTCACTTAGCGGACTAAAGGAGAAAAAGCTCTTTGTGTGACGGCGTTCCTACGGCCATCTCGGATTTCACTGGGGTGAAATCAGGAATTTATCAGCCATTTTGGAAGTCACAATTTCTGACACATCTGGCAGAAGAAAGAAAACATGCGAACATGAACAGTTTTTTGGGGGGAGAAATGTAGATATTTCATACAATTCATTACTGTTTGTTCCTTTTAGGTTCGGATTTGACTAACAATCTTTTTCTTCTTTTTTTTTTTTAACCTGCGTTTCACCTGCAGTAGACAACAACCATAAGACTTTCAGTTTGTTGAATCAGAGGATTTCCTGGCAGCTAAAAGCTGCTGAGAATGGGGCCAAAAGAAGTGACTTTTTTGCCAACCAAAACAACTCGTACTTGGACTTCATTGCCGTTCAATGCTTTGCTATAATGTGAATTATCGATGGCTCAAGTCAACCCCAGCTGCTCCTCTTACAAACAAAAATTAACAGTTTCCTGGGAGAAATGCCTCCAGACCACAACATCCCCCCGCTCACTGACAAGGTTGTGTTACGGTTCTTATCGGTCCATATTGAAGACATCCAAACAGCAGAGGAGTGCTTTTTCTTATCACGTCTCCTTTTGAAAACACCGATGTATTATCTGTGTGTTTTGTCGTGCTGTTACAAAGTCTGATACGTATGCTCTGACAGCTTTGAGCGTCATTGATCTGAGGCTCTGATAGGAGCGCTGATCCTCTGTGGACACTCCCTCTATCCAACAAAGAGTCAGTGGTTTGAAAAAAAGAACAAACCAAAACAAATATATCCTGCCGCCGTTTGATGGTTAAATGTTCACCTGGTTCAAGGAAGGCTCTCGCTGTTGAACATCTCTCATTGTTTTCAATTTCATCTTGATAAAAGTGCCCAAGTCTTGCCTGAAAGAGCCAGAAAAGGCACTTGACTTTCACAACAGCGTATCATTTTACCCACGGACTCCAGCACTCAACATACGAGTTTCCAAATTCCTAAAATGGGCACGGGACTCGATTGAGCACTACAGGGCTACGTTCCCAGTCCTAAAGCTGATTGGAATCTGTGACGGGCACAGGCAGAGAGGGGCAACAAATCCCAGCTACTGATTTCATCTGGTGGTTTTTCTTGGAGTGATCGTGCATCTGAGGCGAGGAGTCCTGATTTTCCTTATCTCCTCGCTTTTTTCTTCTGTGAAGCATTAAGGGCTCACGCTGAGATCCTGGCCCATAGTGGGCCCCAGATGAACCGTGACAGGACCTCGGGCGTGGCAGGGGCGGGTGATGTCCGGCGGCCATTTCAAGCGCAGAGCGTGCCTTTACCCTCTGTTCACAGCGGGAATGTGAATATGACAAAGTGCACTGCTGCCTACTTTTCACCAGCTCGCGAGGGAGCACATGCCAATAAATGCCAACTGTCGGCCGTTTTTCTGTGTGTGTGTGTGTGTGTATGTCGGTGTGCGCTTCCAGCAAACACTGGCCAAAAGGTTTGTTTTGCCAAGAGTTTGTAAGGCTGGACACTCTTCATTCCCAGCCACAGCGCCAGCACTATGCAGTTCCCACGCATGTGACAGCTAATAGCCCCCCCCCCCCCCCACACACACACACACAGGCACACTGACACATGCAGCCCATGCATACATACACACAATCTATAATGCTAAACACCAGTGCCGTGTGTAAACACTGAGTGCTGTTGACACTAAAATACAGCTTTGTACATTACCCACCCTGTCAAGCTGTTTGCTAGCTGGTAAAATATTAGCTTTGGATCGGTGGCTGTCATTAGTTCAGTGGACAGACATGGTCAGGTGTGTGTGGGTGTGTGTGAAGTGTATTCACAGTAATCCGAAGGTTATTAAGGAAAGAGTATAAGGCTTGTGTTTTTGGTGTGAGCAGCTGCCATAAAATGATTAAAGAATGAAGGCAGATTTATTAAGTGTGCACCTGTTGTGGATCTTTTGCGAGATTTATACATTTTTGTGTTTACTATGTGACCACAAATTTCCAGTAACTCCTTTTTTTTCTTTTTCCTCCCTCCCTGGGGTGGAAGTTAGAAGAGGTTTACATGGTCATCAACATGTTGATAACCTGCATTTTTAGATGTATGTCCTACTAGAAGACCATAGGTTTGGTAGCAGGTCGGTCAGTGAGCCAACTGGTCAGTTATGCAGACTCCCTGAGGACCTGGTAACCCAAGACAAGGGGAAACCCCAGAAACGAACTGAAGGGGGTGGGTCAGGACAGTGCACGGTGAGGTTGGCAACACTTCAGATTAGCCCTGAGCAGCTGCCGGTCAACAGAGCAGACGTGCAGTCACCAGAGACCGTTGGGTCGTCCAGCTGAGGGATTCCAGCTGCCTCTGAGTAGCGCTGCAGACCTAACGTAAGCATTTAGCTGGAATCCCCCCTCTCTGTTACGACCACTTATTCCGAGCTCTTCCTCGGTCAAACTCTTGTCATGAGTAATGAGTTGAAGTGGTTAAGAAGCACGTAGCAGTCGCAGACCCATTTTTAACTCCCCCGTCACACGTCGGCTCCTCGAGCTCCGGCTGCTGCCTCGGCTCCCACAGCTGAGGCACAGCAAGGCAGCAGCATATGAAGAGACGGCCCTGTGTGTTATATTCAAGTTGATGGTGAATTTAGACTGCCAAATGTGTCCGCTCAAGCAGGAAAAGGTAACAAAGTCTTTTTCCTTCTTCTGTGAAGAAAGTGTTATTTCACTTTGACACTGTGACATCCTGATCAATGTCTGTCATAGTTTTCAGATGAGTGAAGCCACAGGATGGATCCTAACACCGCTGCACTGTTTGCAAAGCACTCCAGTTCCCAGCGTTCTGGGTTCATCGTGCTCGTGAAACATCTACCTCCCCGTGCACCAAGCTGTTCGCCCTTTCATGTTTCCCAACAGTACGCTGTCATAGAGGCAAAAAAACAAATCAAATGTCCAAATCTAGATTTAGATCGGATTCTATTAAATTAGTGGCTAACTTGGTGGTGGCAGCTCCTCCTTCGGCTGCTTTTCAGAAGAGGCCCCATTTGTGATGCAGAGGACTTATGAGAAATCTTACTTTGGAGTAGTTTAGGTGTTTTTTCTGATGAATTAAATGTTCATGATAATTCATGAAAAGCACCACAGAAACATGATTTAGACTGGTTGTAGTTTCCTCCACTTTAGTTTTAGATAAAGGTTCAAACGTATTCACATGCTAACCTGCTGACGTCAACTCTTTTGTTGTTGTTGTTTTGTTAATCTCTGCATTTGCATCTGTGCTTGTGAGCAGGGATGTAAACAAAGCAGAGTACTTCCTGGGTGGATCTGGATCGGATTTAGTTCTTTTTCTTTAGAAAAAATTGGAAGCGCTGTGCATTGGCGTGCGAGTGTCTGTGTCCTCAGAGCTCACGTGTTTCTCACATGACTGATAGCTGCGCCGTATCAGCCGGTGATATGGAGCTGGAGCACTTTTATCTGCCCGACAGCCGTTTACGCACAAGCACGCAGGCCCAGATTAGGCCCGGCGGCGTTACGCCACCGGCTGCTCATGTGGCACTGTTTATGCGCCAGATTATTGCAGCACACACGCCTAATTGCGAGTAACAACCTGTGACGGGACGTCATCCTGCTGCTGTATCGATGGAGTTGTAACATTCTGTTGCGTAAGCCTTGAGCGGCAGCTGAAGGTGTCTCTTTGTTTTTGTTTTTTTAGAGACGGGGGGCCATCTCCTACGACAGCTCCGACCAGACGGCGCTGTACATTCGTATGCTAGGTAAGTCTCTCCCTGCTCTCAGTGCAAACACACACTTGCCAAGTATCAGAAGGTTTATCCCCCCTCTGCACTCACACACACACACATACACTCTGGTAATGCCCTCTTATTAATATGCAGCATCTTAAAAAAGAAAAGCAGCGAAATGAGAAATGGACTCAGGGATGTGCGGATTATGAGGAGATGAGGCACAATAAAGAGAACCTTTCGAATCCCCTCAATCCCTGGGCTTTTTCTAACGTCTCAACCACAACAGGCTTATACTGTGTGTGTTTGCGGTGTGGAAGTTTGATTTACTAGAAGTACAGGGTGTGCAGAGTGTTCTTCTGTGTTTGTGTGCATGCGTCTTTGTGTACACACTGCATGTGTGTGGGTATCCGTTTGACCTCAGTGAATCCAAACAGACTAAGCAGTTTAGAAAATGGATGATAGGATGGAGGGCCTGGAGCTCTGTCAGTCAGCAGCCCTGGCTTCCTAATCAATAAGGGTTATTGGGGATAGATGCGATTAGAGCCTTCTTATACCCTTGAGGTCTGTCTATTTAATAAGGATGTGCCCTTGCCAACAGCTTGTGTCACTTCATACAATAGTCCCGTTGTTCCTATCTAGAAGTAACAAGAAAATAGAGTGGAGTTGTGTCAGATGTCAAAGGCAGTCAGGAGGTGGAGCGAATTAAACGTTTGCTTTGAAACCAGTTTTTTTTTTGGTTGTTTATTCTAAGTTTTATATTATTGCTGCACAATTTTCCTTCCCAGCTTGAACATGAGCCACCCGCTGCCACGTGTGTCCAGCCGCAGTAATGGTACTTAGCTGAGCTCTTTCGAAGGAGCTTTAGCGTTTTAATCATTTTACTTGGCTAAGTGTGATAGCAAGTCTCACGTCACAGGCCTAAAACATCTGTGTCTGCAGATTTGACAATAAATTGAGTGTGAGGAGGAGAGGCACGCTAATGCAGACTGGTGTTTGCCGGGGCCAGGCTTCAGTCTGCCAACTTAATGCTGATGCGCTTTCAAATAGCAGGACTCAGAGCTTTGGCCACATCAGTTATAATGACATGACCTACATCCACCCCAGAGAGCCCGCGCTAATGCACCGCAGGGGAAACGTGGACCCTGTGACACTCATGAACACCAATCACATACACGTGCTGAGCCTTTGCACATGCATCTGCAAATGTGACAGATGTATACACATGTGGAGGCCCACTCGCAGCCCAGGAAGGAATGCACTGGGCATGCTTTATTAAATTGATTTAGTTAGTTAGTTTTGCACGGTTTCACCCTCCACATTCATATAAAACACTTTACAAAATGTTTTATCATCACCATGCCTTGGATTTTAATTCTTAGTTTTTGGTATTTTGATAGGGGCTTGTGTAGTATTCAAACAGCTGTTTGCAAGTAAGTAACATGCTGATTGGGAGAGCACACCCGTTTGACTTTGCTTCTTAATTCTGACGCACACATGACAGTCTGAAGTGCCATGCTGGGAACGTGCCCTTGCTGTGTTTAGCACCGTGGCCATATAGAGTCTTGCCTGGAATGACACGCTAGCATTTTGCTGCATCAGTGTCCCAGCACCGTCCTGTCGCCTCACTTCGCTCTCGCCGGTCCTGACTGCAGTCTACAAGCCAGCCGGCCGCCGTCTGGAGCCCGTTTCTCTGCCTGAATACTAAAAAAAAAACTTGTAGGTCGACTCTAGACCGCTCTCTCTGGCTCCAAGTACTAATGGTAGAGCAGACTGTCCTGACATGGCATTGCATGCTCAGCTGTTCACTTCTCTGTCCGTTTCCTCCTCTGGGACACGGGAGCGCGTTGGTGTGTGTGTGTGTGACTGTTCCCACACAGAGATGGCACGGATCAAATGATAGATTCAGTATGCTGGCAGTACCAAAGTGATGGGTTTTACCATATCAGAGTTTACGCCCCGATATACTTTATAGCTCCCTGGATTATTTTGAATTCCTTTGAAAAGCTGGGACGCAATGTAAGATCTTTCTGTAAACACTCCAAAGTGCAGTAAATCACTATAAGCTACAGTTTGGTCTCATGACACCCAATTTTGGCAAAAATCAATGAGTGTTTGGCGTCCGTTTAGTGTTTACTGCTGCTGTGAAGCAGTGACAGCTGTCTTCTCTTTAAAAACACCAGATGTATTGTTGTTGGAAAGCAAAAAAATAAAAAAGCTGTTCTTCTAGCTTAATTCAATTTAGTTCAAACATGATTTAGTTATCGCAAAAGAAAATCATATTGTACATTAATAAGAAAAAAACTAATAAAAAACAGAACAGCTTAACCTATTAATACAAAAGGCTTTTATTCATATTCAGTGAAGTTTCTTATTAATATTCCACAAAGCGTTCCAGGTTGCACACAATAGGCTGTGAAAACACATTTTTTTTCAAAATAAGAACTATTCGATTACAACCCCAAAATTTAATGATCGATCCATTAATGGATATTATGAGCTTAAAGTATGACACTCAATTGGTTACTAACACAGAAGCTATGAAATACAGTTAGTCAAACATCAGAATCAGCCAGTGCCCAGCTGAATCTTGTCTGAAAGAGGCAGCTCTAGAGGGCCGGGGCCCGTGTAAGCCCTGTCAGTAATTTGAACTTTTATTTGCATCCGTCTTCCCGTCCTGCTCCGTTCCTCGTCATGTGGTAAAGCCCATCCTCGAGCCACTCAAAACAAGGAAAACGATCATTGCAGAATCAGAACTTAAAAAAAAAACAAAGTCGGTAATCCTTGTTTGAGAACATCCACACACTTCTTGTTGTTTAGTATGAGTCCTGAGGAAATAAGTGTTGCTTTCTTCTAGGAGATGTGAGAGTGAGAAGTCAGGTTGGATTTGAACCGGAACGAAGAAGCTCCCACCCATACCTTTGCATCGACTTCCGAACACTTCACAGTGAGTATTCTTATGTCCTTTGTGCTTGATTTGGAACAATACAATACGGGGACGTCATATAAAATTGTCAATTGGCTTGTAGAAGCCAGAGGAATTATGTTTAAGAGCTGCTTTTATTCATTGTGTCGCAAGTTGCTAAAGACAGAAACTTTTGTTAATTTTATGGCTTGAGTTTATGGTTAAAACGGGCTTTTTCAAACTGAATGAAACCCTTTTTTGAACTGTCACACAGCCACAGAGAATTAGTGAGTCTGTGTTGACAATTTGACCCAAAAGTAATACAACCTCATGCTGACGTATTTCCGGATTGCAGCTGCAGTTTATAAAGACACAGTGCCTTTGTATAGTTAGTGTGTGTGTGAGAGTCAGAGAGTGTGTGTGAGTGTGAGAGGGAGAGAGCCAACTGACAAAGCACGTCTGCTGTGTGATCCCTGACGAAAGGCTTATGAGTGGGCGGCTGTGTCAGCAGCGGCTGTTTGTATATCGCGGCGTTGGTGTCAGATCCCCGCCGAGTTTGGCCCGGCCAAATGATCCTCCAACCCTAATGGGCTTCTGAAATAAACAGGCCCCAAAGTTCTTCCTGTTCTTCACGCGTTGCAGCCTTTCTAAAACTCCTGTCTGTGCGTGTGTGCGTGTGTGTGTGTGTGTGTGCGTGTGTGTGTGTGTGTGTGTGTGCGTGCAGCGCGGCTGGGCTGCGGGTCCTCGTCGGCCAGCTCCGGGCCTGAAAGGCGGGTCCACAGACTGCTCAGCTTCCAGAGATACCTGCACTCCTCCCGCCTGCTGCGGGGAATCCCCCAGCAGATCCCCCTTCACATCCTGGATGAAGACTACACTGGACAGGCCCGAGTATGACAGCCCCCGGTCACAGAATGAAATGCTCCGCTGTCTTCCTGACTCCTGTAACCCTGTGTTTCTCCTCCCCCTCTCTCGCAGTGCATGCTGGAAAAAGTTGGCACCTGGAATTTCGACATTTTCCTTTTCGATAAATTGACAAACGGTAGGTATAAAATGATCAACAGCACTGTAGATGGGAAGATTTCAACCTATTATTATTAGTAGTCTGCCCATCTGCTGTAGAATAAAAATGTCATGAGGTTTACAGCACGACATTGACGCTGACTCTGAGGAACATCATCGGTGCAAATAATTCCACTGAAACCTCTTTTTTACACACCTGATAGAGCAACTAAAAAAGTCATGGCTGGGCACAGGTTGATATCTTGATGTGGAGATCCTTGGATGTCTTTCAACAAGATGCAGTTATCAGTAAATCATTTTTCTTTTTTTGGTGATTTACCACAAGTTGATAGACAGACTAAATAGAAGCAGACAACACATATAATCTACAAAGAGAGCTGGATTAGCCACTGGTAGGTTGACTATGGACCAGTTAATCATATAATCATGGTTAGTGTGGAAACTTACTGGTCAGATGTAATGTTATATAAAAGAAAGAGACCAGTAAATGCAGCCATGATGAGTAAGTTTGTCTCCATATAAGGAAAGTAGATGATAAACTACTAAACTAGACGTTTAAAGGGGCCAAATATCAAACGTGGTTTTCAACATTGCAAGTTCATTGGATTATTTTAATTTAGCCGAGATTTTGAACTTATGTAAGATACTATATTGATGCATTCAGTGATGGGGTCTGCCTGGGGACGAGAATCATTAAACCGCCGGAGTCCTTGTATAACCATAGCGGCTCAATACAGCCTCTGTGAGACAGTGCGTGTAGAATCAGAAAGGATTTTGCCCCTCTTCTGTTACGTGACTTTGTTTACTTTGGTTGCAGATAACTCTTAAACTCTTAAGTCCTCTGTTAAAGATTGTGTTGTGCTTGTTTTCGATGCAGCATTTTGGGCGGCCGGTCTCAGTGAAAGCCTTAAAGTGAGAGGAACACAACACTAGACCACACACAGAGCTGCGTTTCTATGAATAGCTCAGTGGCAAAAGTAACAGGTTTTCTTTTAGAAGCTGCTACACCGAGGAAGTTTAAACTAAGTCATGTTTTTGCAATTGCTCTTTTGACCGATGGTAGCTTCGACTGATCCCAGTGTGTGCCAGCATAAAGAAATGTTGCTGCTCACTTCTCGCTTTTTGAAGAGACGCTGGATGAAGGGAAATTAATGAGGAGAGTCTATGAATGCACTGAGCTTAACGGAGATTGTGACAGTTTCTAACAGTGAAATTACTCCTGCCCAGGGAACAGCCTGATCACCCTGACCTTCCACCTGCTGAACCAGTACGGCCTGGTGGAGCTCTTCCAGCTGGACATGGTCAAGCTGTGGAGGTTTTTAGTCATGGTTCAGGAGGACTACCACAGCGACAACCCGTATCACAACTCAGTCCACGCCGCAGACGTCACACAGGCCATGTACTGCTACCTGCAGGAGCCCATGGTGAGACGCGGGACCTTTGTGTTGTTTTGGGTTGAAGTGACGGCTTTTGCTGACTGTCAGCGAGGACAAGATCTGCCTGAATCTCAAAGGGAAGAGAATTCTTCTGTATGCTTTTATTCATGTACCTAGATAAGTAGTCTGGCTCTGGCACTAAAAACATTTCAAAGTGAGGCTTGTACTAATCAGCTCTCTCTTTTTTTTTTTTTAAGTGAATTTTGATATTTGGGTTGGATTGTGCTCAGTCCAAAAAGCAAATCTATAAACCTGTAAACAGCTTTTGAATAAATCTGCTGTAGAGACGGTGTTTTGGAACATTCCAATCTTTGTGGCATTGTCTCTTTCTGAGTGCAGCTTGCAAAGTCTCTGACCTCCTATGACCTCCTACTTGGACTCCTAGCAGCTGCCACACATGACCTGGACCACCCTGGGGTCAACCAGCCCTTCCTCATTAAGACTGACCACTATCTAGCCACTCTCTATAGGGTAAGATGAGAAAATGGCCGCCTTGTAACCAGCCTTACTTGCTTTATTAAGTAGCGTCGCAATGAATTATATTAATTTCTTCCCCCTTTTTTTCCTCTTAACAAACAGAATACCTCAGTTTTGGAAAACCACCATTGGAAGTCAGCAGTGGGTCTCCTCAGAGAGACCGGACTGTTCTCTCATCTGCCTGCTGAAGACAGGTGAGTTGGACACTCAGGTTGTTCTTTAGATCACCCAAAAACTGCTACACTCCAAGCTGCTATGTGGAAAAACCATCAGCAGATGTCTCAGTCACTGGCTTATTTATCTTTTGAAACACATTTTTTCTCTGACATTGCAGTCTAAGTATGGAGAGGGAATTGGGCTCCTTAATCCTGGCCACGGACATCAGCCGGCAGAATGACTACCTGTCGAGATTTCGCAGGCACCTGGACCAGGACAACCTTTGCCTGAGCAACGCCAGCCACCGTCACTTCATTATGCAGGTCAGTTATCTCCTCAGCTCCTGACAGAAGCGCCTCATTCCCCAACGCCAGCAGAACCTCGTTCTCCAAATCCTTGCCTCTCAGTTGTGGTTTTTCATCCCCTCTCTGGACAGATGGCTCTGAAGTGCGCAGACATCTGCAACCCCTGCAGACCCTGGGAGCTGAGCAAACAGTGGAGCGAGAAAGTGACAGAGGAGTTCTTCCAACAAGGTTAATTGTCTGTTTGGCACCTGCTCTTTTATTGTTCGGTAGCATGTTCAGTGCCTGTCTTTTTCCCACATTTCTTTTTTTTTTTGCGTTGAACATATTTTGGCATTTAACAGCTTACAGATGATTTCTTCCCCTTCTGATTTATTAAGGAGACATTGAGAAGAAGCACAAACTTGACGCCAGCCCATTTTGCGACAGAGAGACGAACACAGTCGGCAACATTCAAATAGGCAAGTACAGAATCAGAATCAGAAATACTTTAATAATCCCAGAGGGAAATTATTACGGGAGCTCTGCTGGATGTTTGCTCTGCGACGCTTAACCTCTGCCTCCACATCCAGGCTTTATGACGTACGTGGCGGAGCCGCTGTTTGCCGAATGGGCCCGTTTCTCCGACACGCGCCTGTCCCAGACCATGCTGGGCCACATGGGGCTGAACAAAGCCAGCTGGCGGGGCCTGCAGCAGGAGCAGAGCCCCGTCTCCGAAGAGCCCGAGCCCCCCGCAGGAGACGCCGCCACGGGAGGAGCCAGCCCCAAAGAAATACCTCAGGGAAGCAGAGAATCCTGACACTCCTCGTGTGCCCTTTCACCTCAGCCTCCCGGACGCTGACCCCCGGCCTGGGGGGGCACCAGCACACACTGAGGTCCTGGTGGGGCACCTACTGGCCTGCAGCCCCACTTCTGCCCCACCTGATCCTGACACCTTTCTAGTTTTTTTTTTCTTCTTTACTTTTTTTGCTTTGGCCTTCCATCTTGATAAACCACTGATTTTATTTAATTTATTTAATTTTTAATTCCTTCTTTTTTGGCATAGAGCAATACATGGATACCTCATTTGGCTACTGCTGTATTTTCTTTTGATTTGCTCTGTTTTATTTATTTGTCCACTGTAGTTTTGGCATTACTGACTGAACAAGCTACTTTTGTTCTGTCGGTGAACCTTAAGGGGAAAGCAGTATAAAAACTGAAAAAGACTTCTTTTTTTCCTGGTATTTTGAAGTGCCATTTGAAAACAGAGTTGAAAAATTATTTGAACCGATTTGACTGAGACAACTGGAGTATTAGAGGACCCTCCTGAGACTTTCGAGTAACGCCATGTTGCATTTGTACTGAAGATTCCTCCTCATGTAAAAACAAAAACAAAAGGAAAAAAAAATGTGACGAGCCCAGTCCTTCTGCTGCCTCTATGAAGACTGTTTACGCATCTCCTTGTTTGTTGTACCTTTCCCTTGAACTGAAGTGAATCATGTCGGCTCCACGGTTTGCCTTCGAAGCACAGACGTAAAGAACCACTCGTTTGAACTGTCATCCCACTGTTAAAGCCATGAGCAGAACCTTTTTCAAACACACCAGATGCCATAAATGACTCCACCTGTGCTACCATGTTTTCTTGCACTCCAAATAACGACGATGGCGCTGGACATACAGCTTCGTCTCCGTGACCTTCCGAAGACACCCTGGAAAAGGTATTAACCGGTCCTGGTTGAGCTCTGGAAGCTTCCCTGCCAGACTGGACGCTGGTCAGCCACATGCATCTCGCCTGGAACTCCACTCCATGCAACTCGACTCACTCAGGGTTTTGCCAGTCTCTTTTTCAGAGAGAGAGGGAGAGGGGGAAGGAGGTGACAAAGGACGATGCAAGGTTGCTTTTTTGTTCTTTTCCTGTTGGCTCAGATCAACCGAAGGAGACTCCTTCTTTGCAGAATGTCTCTCACAGCCACATGAAACCTACAGGACTGCTTGACTGATGCCTTATAACTATGCACAAACTATGCTAAGTGACCAAACCGACTCCTGTTCCCATCAAGTGCATGGTGTGCTTGTCTTTGAATGCACTGTCCAATCCCTTTGCCTTTTTGTCGTGAGGAACAACTCCAGCTGTCCTTTCTTGTTTTTTTCCCCCTATTTCTTTCTCTTCTTTTGTACGGAAACAAAATGGTCGAGTGAATTTGAACATTCCATTGTGATTAGTTTGTCTATTTTGATTCTGTATAGTGGCACAGATTGTGTTTGTGTTGAAACATTTTGAACGATAACAGGTGCTTTTCTTACTTTAGCTGATTTGTATTTTGCTGTAAGTGCTGTAAGACTGTTGATAAAACTGTTTACAATTTGTTGCAACAGCCATTTTTGGGAAGACTTCATTGTCGAACCAAGTTTTGTAAAGGCTTTGCTGTATTGACCTTTTTTGATACATGCCTGTTGCAGTTACAATTTGAATAATAAAACCTGTTGTTAAATTTCACGACTCAACGATGTATGACAAGGTACTCGTCGTCATGAGCAGAGGAGGTAAGTTTAGGTCAATATCATTTCAGGCTATTACATATTTTTTTTTTGCAGTTTTTATTTTGACTAGCTAGACATAAACAAGGAGTTACATTTGGAACAGCACATCTCCTGTGACATGTCATTGTAAAATTATTAATGATTAGACAAAAAACAGTTAGTCTAAATTACCAAGCAGAACAATTTAAAAAATCCTACATGCATAGACTGGAGTGTGTTCAGTCAGAGGCTTCCTCAGTGACTGTCTTCTAGACTCTAAATTCTGTTGATTTGTAAACTACGTGAAGCTGGCACCAAAAGAACTGGCCAGATTTTAGTTCAGCCTGTGGCTTCAGATCCAAACAAAACCAGTAAAAGAGACATGTCAGTTGAATTTAAGTTTTATTTGGTGGTTTGTCTGACACATCTACAAAATCTTAAACCATAAATTGAAATCAATTGTTGACACCCAGTCCACCTTCCCTATTTATGTAAAAAGAAAAAAAACAAACACTTGTGTTGACGTCAAGCTGCGGCTACTCAGGCATGAACAGTGATCACAAATAATCCAAATGTGCAGCCTGCCAATCTGAACAGAACGCCTCAAAATTATTCACAGAATTCAGGATGTGTCAAGATCATTTCCAATGACTACAGGCATGATAAAAATGTATACCTTTAGGATTCCCATGTGCTATGAATGCCTTAGGGCCAGTTATTTTGGTTTGGAATGTGTGGAGGGTACAGAGGACAAAGCAAACTCCAATGAACAGAGTACCTACAAGCTGCTCCTATACAGTGAAAAGTTTCTCTTTATTAAAACTTTTTTTTCCAACTGGAAATTAAAATAAATTTGGCCTAACAAGAAACAATCCTCTAAAACATCAGAGGAAAATATTTGGCTTAAAAGGCAAAACAACAAAGGGGGCAATGCACATATTTTAACCAGGAAACAACTTTCACCAGGTAAGCAGAAAAAAAACGATTAAATTCAAACGTAACTTAAAAACTTGGCAGAGAAATCCGTGAATTCATAATGGATAAATCTGACATAATTTAGTGTTAAAAACGTAATTGTCTATTTAAACTACAACATAAATAAACAAGTCTGGATCATAAATTTATCTACAAGTGAAATATGTATTTAAACAATACAACACAAAATTCCATGAGTTAGAAAGGACTACTTTCTTCCATGGCAGAAAAACTATTTATTTACAGCTTCCACATCCCCTTGAAAAATAAAAAATGGGATGGAATACTGATCATCCATGTTATGTGCAAAGAGTTTAATAAAAATCTAAGGAATGATTGGAAAAAATAAAATTAGTAATCCTCTATTGACATTAACTTAACCCAAAATAAAGCATCATCCTCGTAAAACAGAGAGCCGACAGAGGGTTTGGAAAGTGCAAAAACAGGCGGTCAGGATGATCAGCACATGCAACAAAATGAGATGACTGACACTGAGGCAAAATCCCTTGTTGTTCCACAGACTCCTGATACTTAAAAGGTCAGAGAGGCACTTTGAAAATGTCCACGCAACATCTGGACCTAAAGCTCAGGCTCACTCGTTCAGAGCAACCTTCTCTTTCCCGTTGCTTTCAACATGTGCTGCCCGAACTGTGGAGACACACAGAGCACAGAGAAGAGCAGATTAAACACAGAACCAAACCTAAAAAAAGAGCATGTTGGATTTTGTCCTTCAGTAAGCTTCCTCCAGCTTTGAATCCCTCATGTCTCACCAGTGGCGTCTCTGTTCGGGGCTTCTCTTCATAGACCGGAGGTTTGAAATCTTCCTTGTCATCATGTCCGCTGTTCTGTCGATAGCGGTGGGCGAACTTGCGTTTGAGGGCCTCAGCGATGAGAGTGGCAGCGTCTGCTGGCTCCATGGGCTTCACTTTGGTATCATCTTCCAGGGGACGACTACAACCACAGTTAAAGTCTGACAACACTATAGTCTTACATGCAGCAGAAATCTGCGCTTTTGATAAATTGGTTCTCTTTAGTGAGATACATGAACAGGGCCACACATTTATAAATGATTTACAAATAAATGCAACCTGCCATGATATAAAGTCACCAAAAATGGACAGACCTTTTCACAGACCGCAGCTTTACTTTGTTGATGTCTTTCAGGACCTCGAGCATGCTGGGGATTTCTGCTGGACGTGACTCCAGGACAGTCTGGCCGTCTGTCTTCTTTCCTTTGCGTTCTTTGATCAGATCAATGGCGGAAAATGTCCGCTGGAGGCCCAGAGGTGGAGGTAAAGGTGGAGGTGGGGGAGGGGGAGGGGGGGGTGGCGCAGGAGGAGGCAGGTTACCAGGTGGAGGAGGTGCCCCTGTGGCAACAGCTGTTAGGAATCAGAAGACAGAAAAGGATTAGGAAGCTGTTAAAACATGTGACACTTTCCTGCCATCTACAGGGCAAATTGTAGTATGACAGTGGAACTAAACAGGAAAACGGATCCCTTAAACAGGGAGTTCAAAGACAAAAAAATAAATAAAAAAAAAGACAGAAACAGGTACCTGACTGTGCAGTCTTCTCTTGAGCCAGAACAATCTGAGCTATTTGGGCTCTGAGTTTAGCCAGTTCGGTCTCCAGTGCACTGATTTTCTGAATGGCCTCGTTGTTCACAACTGTTGGACCCTGCGGGTCTGGGGGTTCCTGCTGCAGGCTGGGCAGCGACCTACGGCGGGTTAAGGGCGCTCTTTGAGAGCGATGCTGGTGGGCTCGAAACATGAGCCCTGGTGGGAGCCGCGGCCTGCAAAAACCAGGTTGCCTTACAGACCTGCAACTGAATAGCCTCATCTTCATCATGTTCCCGACACACCATTGTTAGGCACTCACATGGGTCTGCCGAAGTGGCCTTCATCATCCTCTTCATCCCCAACGATCCAGGCAACATCAGCCAGGGACGCCACCAGACCGTTTTGCCTCTGAGCGCCAATAATGACACCAGCATCTTCAGCGTACGGGTAAAGCTGGCAGGAGGGGAGAAAAATAAATAAACAAAAGACCAAAGAACATTTGGGTAATATCAGAGGGCATAAGTTCTCTTCACACACACACAATGTGCACTACAGTTCAACAGCTTTGACCCCGTTTCCGAAAGGCTGAACACAAAGAAAAACATTTCAGATGGATTCAAACCTCAAATACACACATAATCCCACTTGAAATTTGATGACAGCAATTCTATAAACAATCCAAATTCAACTGGAACCTTTTAAAACTCCTCAGTAATATGTAAGGAGATTAAAGTCGCATCCAACAGAGGCAGCAGAGACAACTATCGACCTCTGGAGTTTGTCACTGCATTCACATAGTCAAGTTACTGCTGTATCATGGAAAGTATAAAACAATCCATAAGCAGAAAAAAAAACAATGCTGATGATGCCAAAAAGAAAAGGAGACTATCTGGCACACAGTTCAAAAGTCAGCATCCCCAGAAGGAGAAACTGACATCCAAGAATCCTCCTCCGATGCCAGAAATGACACAGACATTTAAATGGCTCAGTTTCAGGAAAGATAAGTAGGACCTGCCTGTAATCTAGTTAACGTGTTTAACATGCTGCTGGCATCAATTTCCAAATGGAAAATAACTGCATATTTGAGGAGGTTCCCCCTTTGTGGAAACAAGGTCATAACAAATGTAATGTTAGCTTAAAAAAAGACTAACAAACACAAATCAGATGGCAGCTCAGACAAAGAGGATCTGTCGATTGTTAATAAAAAGGGTTCAGGTAGCTCAGGAAGTCTTTAGCCAGCAGAAAACTGGTAAAGGTCGCTGAGAAAACTGACCTAAAGCAGAGAGAGTGCAGTCCGCACAGTTAAGGAGGGCAGCTGGAGACAGAAGACAAGAAGAGAACAGAGAGCACAGGGTTGAAGGCAGAGGAGTCTGAAGACAATAAAATCCAGATGCAGCCAAAGTGAAAACCTTCAGGCCGAGCTGACACTCAGGGTCCAGATCATGTAGCAGAGTAATTTGTTATGACCCCATTTGCCCTGTTTATGCTTCATAAATCAAAACAGTCAGACAAGCAGAGGTAAACAAATGCCAAAGGGATGCATCATTTGTTGGTACATGACTCCAAGAGGAAGGAGGGAGAGAGAAAGAAAGAACGAAATAAGAAGACAGGGTTCAATAATTTACTACAAATCCCATGATCATAAATTATGTGGGTCATTATCTTGAAATTATGTTATGTCCGTTTAAAAAAATGGCTCTTCTGCCTTACCTGAAAATGAACTCTTGGACAAGGTTTAATAGGAAGAGTTGAAGCTATTCTCCTCACAATACTTCTTGATGATCCATAGGATTTTGCTGACCCAAAAGCCTGCAGAAGGAAATATTTAACATAATATTTATGCTGCACAAGAAAAAACTCAAAACAATGACAGAAACAAATGGACAAATCAGGGGCATTTATCATCTGAATATTTGATTTTAAAAGAAAGTAAATTAACCAGTCTGCAAGAAACCAACAGAGTTACATACCAGGTCCATTTCAATCGGGGTACTCTTACTCATTTCTGTCCACAAGTTTCACAAAGAGCGGTTGGCAAATATGAATCAAGACCAGCATGATCATAAAATTTCACCTGGAAAACACAATAGGCAAGAAAAAAAAGTTGAGTTACCTTCAGACACGATACAAAGAAACTTGAGATTCATGCTTTTACTATTGACTCAAGTTAAAAGGCTACAAAAGTTGGACATGATGTGACATGGGTCAGCCGGTGTTGGCCAATATTCATTTAGACAAGCAGCATAGTTCTCACTCCAATATCATCAGAACTGTCATTATTTGAGGCAGAAAGAAAAGAGAATTTCTCAATCTAGTTTTCCCAATAAGTAAGCCAAATGGTGGCCATACAAAAGAGGACAAAACTAGTATAGAACCTGCACCCAGAACAGTCACGTTGAAGTTCACTGAGTTTTTCATTGTTTTTTTATTGGCAATTCTGAAGCTGAACGCCAGCAAAGCCCATGGTGTAAAACAGATGTTTTCCTTTAACTATAATTGTGTCATTAGACAGTCAATAAGAAAAATATTGTGTTTTATCTATTTTAAGATAACATCCATTTCTAAGGACATTGAGATGTCTTGATGCCATAATAACAAGAAACCTATAAGTGAGATGAAAACCATGCTCCGAGTTTGAACTGGTGTTAAAAGTGACACAAGGCGATATGCTTTCGCTTTTCAATTTTAACGTATTTGGTCACTTCAGGTTAGCGGACACAGAGGCTAACTGATGCTAATGATAGCATACTGCTAACTCCAACTTCAGCCTTACACTAACTCTGGGATTTGCCCTAAACAAACTCTGCGCCACCAATCTCCGCATTTATGGCATGCTAACCTTTCATTATATAGTCATACTAACAGTCGAAGTTTGGTTGAACGTGTCTGAAAATAACTTACCAGACCACTGACGGAGAACTTCGTGGAGTTTTGCCACCTTGCCAAGCCGACGTACATTTACCGCTAGAGGTGACTGATGTGGGAAGAGCTTTGGAATGTATTTTGAGCCAATTGGATTATAGGAATAACAGGCCGTAATCTCCATCTAAGGTACAACACTATTGGTTCATGTTAGTGAGTGAAAACCCAGTGTGCTAACTAGCATAGACCGGCAAAAAGAGGATTTGTTACTATAATCGTCAATCAAACTGTGACGTCCAATCAGATACCAGAAAATGTTTGGATGTTCGTTATACTGTCCTGAATGTCCCGACGGAAGGAGTGCCCCACTGATTCGCTGGGATTGCTGTGGAACACGGGGAGTCTTTTATCATAAAACAGCTGTACCCATTCGTTTGCCACAAACCCAAACACTATGCACAGCTGCTAGCTAAAGAAACGCAGCGAACAAGGAGGCGCAGGCCTTGCGTTTGTGGCACTGTTCTGCTACGTGTGTTTTTAAGGTCATATCTAGATAAAGGTGCTTATTCCGACGCCACTCTATGTTCGTTGGGATTTACACGACCAGGGCTTTACTTGTACCTTTTATGAAAACGGAAGGAAAGGTATGCTACGAATGACAAGTAACGATTGCTAGCTTAGCCTAGCTGCTGATTCGGCTGTGTCGGGCTTGATTGAGGTGATGTTGGGGGTCGTGGAAGGTGTGTTAGGCAGACAAAAGATCATGTTTAGGTTGATTTAGGAAAATTGACACAACGACTACATTGTAAAACCGATGGGCCACAATATTTGAGAACAAAATAGTCGTGGCACACTAAGCTCCATGCTTTCATTTTGCAGATGCTGGTTTATCTGTCAATAAAACTGGTGACATTAATTTGTCTCTAGCCAGGGAGATTTTGTAAGACCACCTTTCATCGGTTGCTGCTAATATAGATCTCTGAAAAGGTGTAAAGTTAGTCGGCCCCCAAGTATAGTACTTATACAATGAATTAGGGAGTCAATGCCAGTAAAACTCAGTGTTCTAAATGACGTTTTGCTGCCTTGTAAAAGAGTAAAAGTCAAGAAATGTTTTTCTACATTGTTATCATTGTATAGTCCGTTGTAAAACTCTTTGTGAATTAGCAGCCATTTATGTTTGACTCATGATGTAAGTGTAGGCACTTAATTAAGAAAACTAAGTTTTAAATTGATGATATTACATAAACTGTCTTGATTCTTTAATGGAGCAAAACCAACTCCCTGAATTTTATCCCAACTTTGTGTTTTCAGTAGAATAGGGTCGGCTGGTTTGATGCACAAGTCATCTAAACAAGAGGCACCATGAGTGCGGAGCTGGATGCATTGACGGTTGTGAACCAGCTGCGAGATCTTGCTGCTGACCCCTTAAACCGAAGAGCCATAGTTGAAGACCAAGGCTGTTTGCCAGGTCTCATTCTTTTCTTCGACCATCCTAACCCACAGGTCGTCTACTCTGCGCTGTTGGTAAGCAACACCTGTTCATTTACATTGACATACGGTATACAGAGGGCGCTCAGTGGGTCCTCATGGTTTGATAGTTAAGAACTGTCAAACAAAGACAGACACACAATAACTTTAAATTTGATATTTTTTGCTCAAATATCTACAGCAGCTTTTTAGACTTAAATTGTCCTTATCATGTGAGATTCTTTTTGGCTGTACTGTTGAGTTATTTTGACATTTGCCCCTCAGAAGTGTCAGAGCAAGCTTCCACCTCTGTGTTTGCTCCAGTCACAAGTTCACACATGGTGGCATTAAAATGGCCGCATCTTTGTACAATGGTGACATCTGCTGTCTGCTTTGAGGCACAGGAAACACAAAACAAGGCTGGCTCTCCCTTCTTCTGCTACAGCCACCCTTTTGTTCTGTACATGACGTTGGCCGCGATTATGCATTTAAGTGGATTTATGTAACACTTGCTCCTGAAAGAAGCCTCTCAAGAGTGAACATAGTCAGTGCGTTTCAATGCTTATGTAATGTATTTACTAGTGCACAGGCACACTGGTTTTAAATGAGATTTCTGCTGTAATACGGCCAAGTGTCTGGTGACTTTCAGAGCTGTATGGATAACATTTGCTTTTGTCCTTGCAGGCTGTGCGTTACCTGGCAGAATGTCGAGCCAACAGAGAGAAGATGAAGAGCGAGTTGGGCATGATGCTGAGTTTGCAGAATGTCATGCAGAAGCAAGTTCATGTCTTACACACACGCACACTCTGCTTTTCTGAAACCTTATCCTCGATTTTTTTTATTTTATAGCATTTGCAAAGCTGCAGATTGTCCAGTCAGGATGGCATCCTTCAGTTTGCCTTGTCAACATGAATTTGGTCAATGCTGAATTGTTAGAGGACACCAATGACTTTAAAAGCTGTTATTTCAGACTTCAGACCATTTTATTTTAACTGATGTTTGTATTATTTTTTTGTCGAACACTGCGTACCATTTTAATCTTAAAGTGATGTATTTTTTTGGAAAGATACACAGTTTTTAGTCACCATTTTATAGGGAGACATTGTACTCCTAATAGCTAGCCTTACCTGAGAATCTGCTGCAAGGTCCACAAGTTGGTCAGCCTCTTCATTTGGTCTGGATTGGGCATTAAGAAGAGACCTGCATTGTGCCCAATGTCCTGTCTGTCTGACTTTGGACAGAGGTCAACCTTAGCTTGGCAGAGTGGGATCACATAACTCAAAGGAAGTGTCTTGCATAGCTGCACAAACAGGTGTGGATATGATATATATATATATATATATATAGCTAAAGCTACTGAAAAACTGAAGTTTAAGAATATGTTGTCTCATCTGTGCATAGAGTGTAAAACTGACAAAGTGAGCTGAGTGTTTAAATAGCTGTGAGGCTGACAGGCTTCCATAGCGCTGCAGTAGGAGTGCCCGTGTACCAACGGGCTCTCAGAGGGCAGCTGTGCCAGACAGCCTATGTCACATGAGGTGATGATAAAAAGAGTGATGACTTGATGACACACGCTCTTGTTTGCCCTGCAGGGGCATCATAGTATCCCTTGACCTATAGTTGTGCTAAATAGCAGAGTTGGGCATTTATACATTTGTTTGGACGGTTTTAATCAGATCTAAGAAAATGTGAGTTTAGATGAATAAAATCCGCTTTAAGCAAAGTTCATACATGATGTCCATCAGAGGTGTGTACAGCAGGAATTTTCTGCTTTTCTATTTGCACTACAGCAGAAATGTCATGCTGTGGGAAAGTCTGGAGCTACCCCTCATTTCTTCATTTATTGCCAAGAAACTTAAGGTCTTAAGGCCAAGCCTTTCATAAGTTCATCTGCTATAGATTTTATACTTATCTTACTATAACTTGTTTTGGCTAAAGCCAAAACATTTTTGTCACTCATGATATGCCCATTTTTTTCAAATTATAGCTCTTATTTGGTTTAATTTTTAAAAAGTCAGTAACAAAATATAAATTAATGTTGGGTAGCACGTTAATGTTTATGTACAAAGACATTATATTCAGATATCTTGACATCAGAATGAACTCTATTCGTCTCTGTAGAAGCACCACCAATGTGTGTGTGAACCATGTTTGCTATGTGTAAAGTCACATTTAAATCTTTTTTAAATCTATAGTTTATTTTGCTTGATTTATCCCTCTCTACTCCCGAAGGAGTACGTCGCCAGGGGAGACCAAACTGCTGGCCTCTGAGATCTATGAGATTTTGCAGTCGGCTGGTCAAGAAGAGGCCGAAAAGGCAGAAGCAGCCGCGGCCTCCTGTCGCCGTAAAGCCCATTTCTTCCTGGGGTCCAACAACAAGAGAGCCAAAACTGTAGTGTTGCACATTGATGGACTGGACGACTCCGTAAGTAATCACAGACTGCATTCAGGACTAAACTCACCACATGGGCGCAGATCTGCCCCCCAGTCTCACACATACGACACACACGCACACACACATACACCAGGTGTCTGTTGATGGGCAAAAGTCTCCCTTTAGATCATCGTGTTTGTTGCTGTCACAATAACAGTGTTGCCAAAGCATCTTTGGGGTATCTATCTGGGACCTGATATGAGGGATAAGGGTTCAGGATGTAAATGTCAGCCATTGAACAGCAGGGCGCTGAGATTGAACCGGAGTGTTGCTCTGTGGGAAACCTGCACCCAGCCAGATTTCATTACAGCAGACAGCCGGCCTCAGGAGGCCTACGGAAACACACAGCTCTGTAGCAGCTGGAAATAACTGATGCAGAAACCGAGCCTTTCACATATACATACATGGTGTATGAATGAAATCGTCTGTGCTACATCTTATATGGAATGTACAGTGCACTTTTAAGAGGCCGCCACCATGAAACCAGCAGCCCTGTTTCTTTACACACCCGCTCGTGACTTTCACCTGCCTTCTTTTTGTTTTCAGACTCGAAGGAGTCTGTGTGAAGAAGCCTTGTTGAAGATTCGAGGAGTCATCAGCTTCACCTTCCAGATGGCTGTTAAGCGATGTGTTGTCAGGATCCGTTCCGACCTTAAAGCTGAGGTGACTATCTGCCCGCACTAAACAGCGTGATCCTTGTTCTCTGTGTGAGATGAGCTGTGAGCACTGATTGCTTTTATGGGATGGAAGTTATTATTGAGAAAATCTGCTCTCTTTTGAAGCTTCTTTAGGCCTGATAAGGAAATGATGGTAGCCATTTTTAAAATCTGAACAAAGAAAAACAAAATCTGCTCTTTGTTTTTGCATTCAGTTTTTGGATTTTAGAACTTAATTACCACCATTAGACTCTCCATAAAAGGACACGTGTAAGATTATATTCCTGTGACAGGAGCATAGCTTCATTGGGGCTTCTACTGCACTTCCAGTTAATGAATAAATTAATCAAATAGCACTAAATATCCTCAGTATACTTCATGATATACGATATCCTCTGGCAGGCATTGGGAACAGCAATTAACTCCACCAAAGTAATGAAGGCTCAGCAGGTGGTGAAGACGGAGGATGGAGGAGAGGTAAGGACTCGCACTCACCACAAACTGTTGTAAATAAACCAAATCTCTCCCCAGAGGACGTGGTGACAGGTTAGTGTGCTTGCAGTATGTTGTGCGTATCTGTGTACAGGAAGTGCGGCCGCCTGCCTGTGGCTGAGACTCATTCACAATGACATGATTAGCTGTTCACATTTCTGCCCCAGCCTCTGGGCTAGTTGCCTTATACCCGCGACATTATCAGCACTCGTGATTTTTCTTAGAATTACCAATACCAAGGAGAAACTCAGAGACAAATAGTAGTGAATGCCGGCTTTAGCAACCTGTGAAATCCCTGAGAAGGGATTTGAATGCATGCTGCCCTAATGGTACATAACAAAGGAATCACAACTCGTGATATATTTTATGGCCAGCAGGGGTCAGGCCAGGCCAAGTCATGAGCCTTGAGTTCAGATGTAAATAACTGGCTCCGCTGCCAAACAGCGGGGCTTTATGTTAAACAATTCATATTTTTTTCAGTAAATAAGATCAATACTCTTGTTTAAAATGCGCCCTTAAAGCGTATGCACTCTCCTTTTTTTTTGTGCAGCTGATAGTACCATTCCAGGAGGACTCTGCAGTGCTGGTAGAGGAGAACACAGACATCCCAGATTACCTGCCTGAGGATGAGAGTCCTTCCGATGAGCAGGACAAGGCTGTCACGCGTGTAGGATCTATCACAGACGGCATGGGCTGGCTCAGCACGGCCGCCAACTTCCTCACACGCTCGTTCTACTGGTGATGGCTCCCTGCCCGACACTCTTTGCTTCCTGTTGCATCAAAGGTATCATCCAGCTGCAGCCTTAGACCCTCTCAGCCTAGTCCCGGACTAAGCCCTGCCTCACTAGTCTAGACCTTTCCCCGCTCCAGAGCACATTGAGCCCAGCCAGATGTGCGCAACAAGTACTGGACTGCCAAGTGGACATCTGCAGTAACTTTAACCTCTGTATATACTGAGCTACAAACCCGCCACTGGCTGTATGTGCACTACCATATACTAGCTGCATATGTATCTGAAAGACATAGCCAGTGGACTTTATACCGAACAGAACCAAATAGCTTTCTGAAAAACGTGTGTTGTTTGTGGTGACATTGGGCAGGAGTGTTTGAATATTCTGAGGCTGAAAATCTAAAACTTCATTTAGCTTTTTGCATGATTTTAGTTGTTTATTTCCATGCATCTGTTCCCAGTCGTCTCCTTACTAAACACATATTTCATCTTTTAATTTCCCCCTTGTTTTAGTTTTTTAGTATACGGTTTTGTGCCAATCCTGCCTGATGCCTACATCTGTGATTATTGTGCGTGCCTTTTGGACATTTTGTTGTAATTATTTATTTGATGATTTGGATGCTCCGAGCACAGCAGTGTTTGTGCTCTCCTGGCAGCAGCTTAGCAAACTAAAGTAAAGATAAAAGACACCAGCAAGAGGCCACAGCTCCTTCAGCCGCTGTTTCATATGAACGCTCCACCTGGTTGTGGTTTGAAAGGGCAAACTTTTGGCCAAGTTCTTTATGCGTTTTAGTTGTTTCTGTCAAAACTGTGGGCTCTTGTGATGATAATTATAATGGAGGAGATAAAAATCAGGATTTCTGTGGTTGGCTGTGAACTGACTGACAACTCATTGTGTTCATTGCACAGAATTTAGGCTACCTCTGCTTTTAGCTTCTCATCTCACATCAGCATTGTTTTGTTCTACTGCTTCTGAAAAAGAAAAAGAATGAAAAGAAAGTACAGATAAGCATGTTAAAGAAAAACCTGTTAGTTGGCGGCTTGTAAAAACACAAAAGAAATCCCACTTGTACCTGAAATTTCACTCATATGTTTGCAATATTGTACATGCTTTTGCTCACATCTTATTTCAGTTTAGCCAATAGTGTCCTTAAAGGCAGAGATCACTTCAGTGCACACTCAAACATTCAGAGGACTCACTAATGCTATCACATGAGCTGCAGAGGGGGTGTTATGTACATTTTGTAACTGGTGCCTCATTCCTTAAAAATCTCAGACCGGATGCGAAGGATTTTTTTTTTCTGTTTTATTAATACTGGTTTTGCATTTTAAATGACAAATTATCACAGGATTTTGTAGCGGTTGATGTTTTTAGTGAGGAATTCCCTAATTCTTGAGCTTTTTTTTTCTTTTACTCTGCCCAGGTTTAAGTACTCTGACATGTGTCATTAAATGTTATTACACACAATGCTGACCAGGCCCCTTTTAGTCTTTGGTGGTGCAGGGACGTCACACTTGGTTGAAGTCAAACAGTGGAATAGCACAGAGTAGCCTGAACCATGGATGGATATCTTTTGAAAAGCAATAATTTTTTTGCATTTTAGGTCATCAGCTGCATCATATAAAATAATGTTTTTTTATAGAAAATTATTATTGAAAGTAAGATTTGTCAGCAGTATTACTTTTACAATTTTGCAGTTAATCTCTGTTGCATTCTGTAGTTTCTTTTAAATATTTGGTGTCTTAGCTTCATTTTACAAAAGAGTTACTTGAAAATTAGTCAAAATTGTCCCTCCCTGCTAATAAGTCATTTACCACAGCCGTAGAGTATACAGAATCACAAAGTCCTAATAAAATTTCTTATGTACAGACTTCCACTGTAAGCAGATGTATTATAACATGTGGTGATGTTCCAACTGTAGAATCCCATATACTGTTAATGCAAAAAGTTATCAACTGAAACTAATCTGGTCCCGTGTGTTTCATGTTTCCATTTCTTTTTTTATGTCAGTCATATGTGTTGACCTTTCATTTCCCAGCGTTGTGTGTTCAGGGATCTGTCGTCCTCCCAGCATGCAGCACCCTCACATCAGAGCCCCGGACCTCGTTTTGTCAAATCAGATTGCTGTTGGCCAACATACCTAGCAGAGAGGGAGCAGTGAAATTGAGTTTTCTTTACTGATGCATAAGAGAGATTCCTAGGGGCCCTCCGCCCACCACCTCCCCCAGCCGTGGTGCTGGTAGGCAGCAGCCACCTCCAGCTGGAAGCCCTGGAGCCACTGATGCTGCTGATGCTGCTCATGAGCCTCCAATAAAATGCTGTGCCAAGCTGTGGAGTGGGCCTTCACTTCTCTGCCGCATCATCCAGATGGACAGTGATGAGAAGTAATGTTTAATGTTAATGCTGACAAAACACAAATTTCCCGGCTGCTTCCCATAAACCTGTGGCTAAATAGAGAAGCTCTTAGAGAAAGTTCCGATTAAGGCCTAAAGTTACCCTGCTACATTCACTGTTTACACTGAAAAGAAAGAGACGGACTTGAGCTCACTATTTCTTCTTTTTGGTCATTTTAAAGTCCGTCCGGCTGATGTGAGCCAGTTACTAATTCGCCCACTGAACACCTCGTAACTTCTTATTAGCAGTTGTTGAGCAGTCAAACTTAATTACCAGCTGATGTCAACACATGGTTGTCAGGCAAAAACACCCATTAAGTTTTCAGTTGCCTGTGTAATACACAAATAAAAAAATGTCATAGTTTTCGCATTTTGTGAAAAGGCTCAGCCTGCCAAACACATTCTGCAACTCCCCTTAAAGGTTACCAAGTCCTCTGTGCAGCATGTAACCTTCATATATGTACCGTCCCGTACTTCCAGGGGTCCATTCATGGAGGAATTTGTTTTCAAAATGAAAGACCTTTAGTTTTCATGCTTGTTTTTCTCACACATTGCCACTAGAGAGGGACAGCTAGCCTGACAAGAGACCAAAAGTGTGTGTGCGGTCCTCTCCATTATCTCATCACATGTTATGAAAACACTTGTTTCTAATTAAATGACCTAAGATGGCCACTGGGTGACCATGCTGAATCTACATTTCCATCTGGTGGGTTTGAACTTGAGGAAGTGTTGTCATAGTAGTTGATTGGCTTCACCCATTAACAGCTTTATTCACCTCAGCCAGATCCGATGGGAGCACTGCCACCATGAGGTTGTTTTTTTAGTGATTATTACAGCGCGCACTTCACTCCCCGCTGCCTGGGCACTGATGTTCAACACTTTTTAATTTCAAACGATTTTCATCTAGGCTATGAAACCATCTAACTTTCCTAAAAAGTTCTGGCACCTATCCTTCATTGTGCAAAAACAGCCCTCATCCCCCTCAAATTCCAATCATTTCTACCCCCTCTTTAAAATCCTGCCTTCCTCACATTTCCCATCTGATAAAACACAGCCAGGCTGCCTTGTGCATAGTCCTCCTCCCCTTATCAGGCCAGCTGAATACATGTGCATAAATGTGTTGTGGTATCACCCTCCCACCTGTGCGTATTTGCATGCTTAATCTGCGCGCGGAGGGGAGGGCGCGGCTCACGGGGGAGCAGAGATAGGTGCGTCTCGCGCGGCCCCGCAGGCTCTCGAGGAGTTTTATTGGAGGTTCAGCTCCCAGTCAATGGGATCAGCCGTAAATCCCGTTCAGAGTGTGGCAGGAAATGATGTGACTCCGGCAATTTATGTCAAATAACTTTTGAGGATGTGTGAGTGTAGCGATCAGCGCTACCAGGGCGGCGATAACTCTTCCGCGGGGGGCCCCGGTGAAGATTTAATTGAGACATTTTTCTTTATCTGGAGCGAAGCGCCGGCTCCGTGTTGTTGTGTAACGAGATGTAATGTCTCTCCTTATACGGGGGTCAACATCCAGGATGAGGGAAGGTCACGGACTGACTGTTTGAGCATCCAATTTGCTCACGTAATACCCGCTCCACAGGGAGCTGGGCGAGGAGCACTAAGTTACTGCAGGTGTGTGTGTGTGTGCGTGTGTGCGTGTGTGTGCACACACCACACACACACTTGCAGGCCCAGGGTGCTGTGTGAGTGTAATGCATATCTGTGGGTCCAAATAAATAACAATTTTGGAAATTTGGCTGCTGAATCCTAATGGAAGAAAGGTGCATGACACATTTGTTTTGTCTTTGTTTTATTTTTACAGTTTTATTTTTAAGTGGAACTACTATCTGTGCTGATACTGAATTAACTACAGGTCCATCAAACCAGACATTCAAAATGAAATTAGTTGCATTTTTGTTCGTACAGTGCCAAATCATAACAATACCATCTGAAAGCACTTCAAAGACCCAGTCAGATTCAAACCAAGTAGAACCCAATGCCCTCTGATACTACAATCAAATCAGTTAAGTTTGAAATTACTCTGATTCACACAGAGCTAATTAAAAAAGTTTCCTAACTTAGAAAAACAACAGATTTCACCAAAACTAACTCATCCAATCCCCTCCTGCGCAAGGCAACTGTTGAAAGAGCACTTCTACCAGACAGAAGCCAGTTTCAGAGAGGGTGGCCATCTGCCTTGACCAAAGTAATAAAGACACACATTACTTATGAACTGCAGGTATAATAGTTAACAAGAAAATGAAGCTCATGAGGTCTTACTCCACAGTAAGACATCCTATTGGCATCTGTAGAATACACAGCTTTTTTTTATTCTGATGAGAGCATCATCATAATTAAGACCAAATGCTCCTGTATTGTCATCATCTTTGCTGAAGTGAAATCATAGAAAAATAAACACTTTCTATTAAACTTCACCTTTTTCAATATTCTGAAATAAAAATGAAAGAAATCCAATCATTATACAATGATAATTAAGTTTCACCTTCGAATAGTCACAAATATGATATTTCTAAAAAAACTGAAAAAAAAACTAAAACACTTATGTCAAAGCCAATGTCTAAGCCAACAGAGTAAAAATGAAAAGAAGATAAAAAGTGTATATATTCTGTATTAAGTTATGAAATCCATTATTTGCATAGTGTACCATAGTGAAGCTAATTAACATCATATTGGTACCTTCTACATAATACAAGTGTGTAACAATAAATTTACATAGTGTCAACAATGTGTATTTGTTATAAAAATGTCATGGGTTTTGAATGTGAGATACTAAAAAGGACATTGATGTAAGTCTGTATGGGCGATGGAGCCTATGAAATTAAAACACTCAAGTGTTTAATGTTACCCAGCATTTTCAATCAAAATTAATCTGATAAATTACTGCAGAGGCAAAATGATGGAGGTGCAGGAAAAATGTTATAAATTCTTCTGAAGCTTAGACAACAAGTATAAATGCAAGTGGCTGATGAACTACTCTGCAATTTCTGATGTCAACTGAGTGAACATCTTTGATTGTAATTGCTATTAAGGTCATCTGACTATTTTTTTTAATCATGGCAAATATCTGGTATTAAATCTATACAATCTGATGTATATTTATTGCATTGTGTATCCCTGTGTGTGCCGCCCCCCCTGAAGCAGCTTGGGGGCCTTGATGAGATGCATGCGCACATAGACGACTCATAATTGTGGCCATAGCTCATTATTGTCCCCCGGATGATTTGGATCCGCTGGGGGGAGTCTCGTCCTCTGACACCACCACGTCCGACAACCACTCCAGGCGCTGATTGGTGGGATGAAATATTGCCAGTGAAAATTAAAAGGTCCCCGTGTCAAAATAATTCATGATATGCATATCTTCCCAGCTTGATGAAATCACTGATATCTGGATTAGATGGATAATAAAAGCTTTAAGGCTGTAGTGAAACAGTTTGAGCAGTAGCAGCAGGGGAGAGCAGACGAAGCTTGTTTTAATGTGTCAAGAGAGGTGGGTTTGAGGGTCAAAAGACAACAAGTGTAGCAGTGCATGTGCGCGTTCACAGCTGGTCAACCCTGTCTCAGGTTTCTTACCACATATCAAGAGCTGTGATTTGAATATCCACAGTAATTGTCCGAAAACGGCTCATCAGTGGATCTGCCTGCTGCCATTAGGGCCCAACAAAATGGTGTGACATTCAAATTCCCCTCAATGACAGGTTATTAGAGGCCCCAAGCATCCAGCACATAATTAAGCACCGTAACGTTGACCTGTAATATGAGTGTGGCTCAGTCATATAGTGGGTGAGACTGTTCAAACACAGGAGAGCTGTTTGATTTTTCTCATGTTGAGAAAAGTAATTATAAAAGCCAGCAAAGTTTCCAGTCATAGAGCTGGAATAAGGAAAAGCTGACTGGCAGATGCCACAGGAACTGCAGTAACACATCTGAACCTGCATATTGGGAAAAAAATTCTGCAGCAGAAAAAGTAATGAATTCATGTTTTCGCGTGAATTTATGTTTTCCTATCGTAGAGCTTTATGTTAGTTTATGATTCCGTTTGTATCATATTGTGAGCAAATCGCTAGCTCTAAAGAAAATAAGGGGCTACAGTGGCTGAGAAAATAAGAAGCAAATGTGTGACTTTCCTTTGTGACACCAAAAAGCCTATTACACAACTTAAGACATGCTGTCTGAGGCCCCCGCTTTTCCCTTTAGAACAAGTGGACGTTGTGATGAGCAATGGACCCATCTGCTGTGCCCTCTCCTCCAACTGGTGTGTGAACATGATGTAGTCTGTAGGTGCCATTTCCAAGCCAGAATATAGATATGATACAAGTAGTACCTGGAAGATATCTTTTAAAGGATAATATTTGATTTCATTATATGTGGCTATGAGCGCCTGCCATGCCTCTGCAGATCAAAAGCCCCTGATTTTAGTTCAGTACTTTATGACCCCGTTGGATACCAAGCGCACCTTCACATACAGCAACAAAGCAAACCAACATGTTAAGCTGAAAGCCAGAGGCCTGTGTAATGGTGGGTCTGTGCAGGGCTGCCTAACAGAAGGTCTGCACATCCCTCCCTCCCTTTCTATCTCCCTGCTAGCCCCACACCCCCCTTCATAAGGGTGGCAGATGGCTGCAGATGAATCCCTCATAATCATGTCAGGACGGCTCCTCCGATCCCAATTCATCTCTTTAAACACATTTCATCAGACAGAGAGTTACACAAAGATAAAGGCAGCCGGCAGACAACAAAAGTACACAAAGATTGTCCTTGCAAACAAGTGTTCCCAGTCCCTAACACCACTTAATCATTTGTGCTCCTGTTATTGCTTCTCACCCCATGTGCAATCAACTCTACCCCATTTTCCTCCTGCGTTTATGTTTTTTCTCTCTGTTAATTGTCCCTATCCCCAGCCACAGTCTGTCCTTGTTCAGCATCAATCTTTCCACAATTCGCTGCTACTACCTCTTTAAAAAGACAGGTGTGTAAAATCCTTTTCTCCCATCACTGAGCCTTGGTTTCTGATGGCTGCTCCTTTTGGAACGGGGATCATTTCCACAAAGTGAATTGTGCATTTCCTTTTTTTTCCGCCCCTCCTCCTTCCCTCCCTTGCTGTGGCTCTGTGTCACCCATCCGCACGATGCCATTAATTGTGGATCAGGTGAAGTTTGTCTCACCTCATTTCAGGGCCATGCTCGGCTAGGGCCATTCTCCCCACTCAAAGGCCACATAATTTCACAGCCTCCTACTTCTCATTAATCCCTCTTGAGTGGCTGCTCTCTGAGTTCCAGATCACAGATTTGTTTTGCTCTTGTTTTCTGACTCGCTGCCCTTCTTGCCCCACCCACTCCTCATCCCCACCTTCATATTAACCCCTTTAAGAGAGACGTCTCCCATCCAGCACACCAGAATCTTCGCTGTTCAGTCAATTCTATATTTCCAAACAAAATCCTGGTATTTGGTAAATGTTTGACTGCTGGTGGCACATTTGTCTTTTTCGATTAATTTGCCCATTATTTCACTTTTACAGGCAAATACAGTTTGTGTGTGGGCTTTTTAGTTGCCCATTTAAAGGCGATTGATTGGAACCAGTGTCATCTTTTTCTCCCAAACAACTCCACAGTCGGCCTGACAAAAAGCAAGTGACGAACAGAGCAAAACAATAGGAAGTGAAGAAAATCAGTATATTTCTGTGTCTAGGCACACGTGCAAATCTCTTTTCACCATGACTTCGTCATCCTTTCGCTGCTAAACTTTTAGGTCTTTCATAAATTATTCATGAGAAAAAGCTGAAGATCTCTCATTACCATGAAATAACAATTTGCAAATTTATGGAATCTCCTAATTACTTGCCTTATTTGCCATGACCAAATTAAATATTCAGAAATATGTGATTATTTCTTTGATTTGACTGCCATTCAGTATAATTTGGTAATTTTTGTCACAATAATAGCCGTGAGGCTTCTTGTTTGGTGTGAAACCAAAGCAACAAACTATCTTAAAACAATGAGCAGTACTGGATGTTCAAAGTCATACAACTGAATTTCATTTAAACATTATCCAAAAGCTTATTTCATAGGTTTGTCCTGGATTATCAGTTGAGCCTCTATTTAGAACACTGAACATCTACAAAGGTAGACAAATCCATTCAAGTGTCTTGTTCAACCTGAAATGTTTGGAAAGAGTAAAAACTGTGGCCATGCAAACATGTAAATTTTTGTTGTAGAAGCAGTTTTATTTCATTGCGAGTCAAAACAGAAATGGATGCACTCATTTGAATGAAGCTGACTTTCACTACAGTTTATTTCCAGTGATTCGAAAAGACAGATAGCAGAAAAAGGAAACAAGAGTCTATCTCTGAATATCTCTCATCTTGTTCTTACTGTAGCAAGCGGTTGTAAGAGGAACACTCAGCCAAGTTGTTGGAAGAAAGCGAGTCTCGGATCCCATCTGGGATGTCTTGATGAGGTCTCTTGCTGTCACCGCGTCTGTTGTCAAGGCTGCTTTTAACCTCAAATTTATGGCTTTGTTATATCAGAATTAATTACAGATATTTCCCCCCAAAGTGAGTGACGCTGACAAAAATGCTAAGCACAGGCAATTTAGCTCTATTTGCAGATTAATTTGGGCCCACCTGTGATGCTT